TTTCGGGCTTCATCTCCCCTTACATGAGCTTGCAGGGATCGACATTAACGGTTGTCCGATTGCCCGGGAAAGTAAATTCTCAGTTCAGGCAAGTGAAACTGTCGACATACTTGTCCGATTGGGCAAGTAAATTTTTCTCCTAGAAGTGTACATATTTATTGAGTTTACATTGATTTATAAATAAAACAATAAAATGTACAGTTGATTTCCGCTAGGTACCTGACTGGCATTGAATTGCATTCGGAATTCCTTGGTAGTGTTTCTAGATTATACCAGCCATTTAAATATCGGGTTCGTTATTCTCTTTTCTTTCATGGTAAATACGCTTTACGTCTATCTATGTTAACTTCATCTTAAGAAATAAGATTATTTATTCACTCAAAGAATATAAGTGGCATGATGTATCCCGATCAAGATATTATGTTTCGTAACAACTATCTTCCTACAGCGTTGCTTTACAGTTATCTCTGAAAATCATGATTCTCAAAGGATTCTACCGAAAATAAAATTTTGAAAATAGGGATTTTATTAAAAGGAACCAGAGGGTTATTGCTACATAGCAGTGTGTATGTGTTAAAAGGTTAAATTGACGAGGACAGTGGTACATATTTATCTACAAAACACAGCATCAAATTTTTCAAAATGTATTTTAACTTGCCAAGTTGACGGTAGTGTATTTGGTCACACTTTTTCCTATCATAACATTACAATAATAAATAATATTTTTCTTTGCTAATTTTGGGCAACCAAGTTTTGCATTCGGACAAGTCAAAGTTTGAGATGACTTGCCTGAAGGGCAACTGAATCTGAAAGTGAATGTTTATCCCTGGCTTGAACAATGCATAATATTAATTTCTTTCGACTGTCAGTAACGGTCTTAATTAATCTCAGCGAGATTCGTCGAGACTAAAAATTTTGGACAGACGTCTCTTCCGAATCTCAGACCAGTGCCACACAAAGTGACTAGGGAAATCTTGCCCGGACTTCGACTGCTTGTTTTGATCAATACGGGCTGAAAGGAATTCCCTGCCCGCTTCAACTTTTTGCTTTGGACATCCTTTTAACTCCCTATCACTATAAAACTTTTGTTTCTTACCTTTAATAGGTTTAAATCCAACCAAAATCAAGTTGTTGATTTTTTCATACCACTGACATATTTGTTTAAACCTCTGATGCCGAAGAGTTCCAGCAATAGTCTGCTTTATTTTGTTCTACAATGATTTCCAATAGAAATGAACCATAGTACATGTACAAAGTATTTGAAGCAGACTATTGCTGGAACTCTTTGGCGTCAGAGGTTTTAACCAATATGTCAGTGGTATGAAAGTGCATTTTTCCAAAAAAGTATAGGCTTAGAGTAGTTGTAATTGTTCTGAAGTTCAAGATGAAATGCATTGAAAATATGAAGTACTTGAAAAACTTACCAGAAAAAATAAATCTTTGGAGGGGGAAGGGGCATCCTGTCATCAAGCACCAATGACTGCTCGACTTAAACATTTCACAGTGCATCACGACTAAAGGGTAGGAAGTACTTAAGGTCAAGATCTAGTAAATGACTTTAGACAGTCTTTTTGATGCTAGATCCATTATGACATCATAATCAATTTCAATTTCTTTTTCCCATAGTTTACGGTTGTAATAGAATTAGGTAGAGAATAAAGTATTTCCATGGAATTCAATTTGAAACATTGTGAAAGGTAATCTCAATACCTATATTCAGTTTAATATTATTTTAAAGAAGAGGCCAAGAACATACAAATTACTGTTTTCTGAGAGACTGTAGGCAATCTGGATACATTTTCTTTGTCTGATATGGAAAAAACTCTCATATACATGACTGGTTTTCTTAATTTTTCATTAAAAACGACAGTTTAAAATATGATTTTTCGTCTAGTTTGTCTACAATTTATGCCCCAAAACACCTTATTTGACCAAGCTAAAGTTATAAAGCATCATTAAAGGAATTTATTTCTCAAATTTGAGAAATCTGTAGGCACCTTTCATTTACTAGATCTTAACCTTAAATAAATCATCAGCATATTTCTTCATTCATTTTAACATGCTTAAAATGACTTAACTTATGGAGGCTCATTACACCCATGATTAATTTTATATTTCATTACAGCACCACTTATTATGTTGGTTTCAAATATCCAAATGGAGGTTATGATACCATACATATTTTTAATGATTTTTTAACATTTTTTATTAAATGTTTTATTTCTGTTTTTAATTAATAGAATTGCAGTAATCTCAGTATCAAGTGCTGGCTATCATCAGACATGTAAACAAAGTGGCAACACTTCATGATATTCAGTACTTTTTTTATTAGAAAAAATATCAGGTTGAAACAGAGAACTGAACTTTGAATCACCCCTGAAATCTTAGAAAATATTCCTTTGAGAGACCAATTTTATTTTTATTTTTTTTCTTTTGTTCAGAAGATAGGAATTTAAGTTCTTTTTTGCAGATCATTTGTACTTAGATCGAAGAAGTGCATACTAATTGGCTTTTGATTTTTGGTAATTTATGAGAAAAATGTTGTCATTTTAATGCCAAGTACATGTATTGCATATAAGGTACCCCTTTTTCTGGATCAATCCTCATACTGACAGTTTTTCAAGATAGGAGGAGGTTTTTCTTTTGTAGATTAATTGTACAAGTCATGTACTTATATCAGAGATGTGCATACTACTTGGTATTTGATTTTTGTTAATTTATGTGAAAAATGCCAGTTATTGAACTTAGTCATTTTAATGCAAAATATGTTCATGGAGTACATTGATATTGTTGGGAATCTTCATATGTCACCTCCTACAGATTTCTAGAAAGTCCTTATAATTTATGTGAGAAATACTAGTACTGTTTATACTAAAGAAGACCTTGTTTGCTGTCACATTGACAGCTTTCCACCTGTTAGATTATGATTTATAATCATAACAGAGATTTTTTAACATGCTGTTCTGATAGTGGGCTGTATTAAATTGCTTCAACTTCAGTAAAGAAAAATACTTCACTGTTTACTTTCTGCCATTGAATTACATCATTGAAAAGTATAATCAATGCAGACATCTACTGTAATCTTTTTAAACAAACATTGTACATTATATAACCATGCACAGGTTAATTCAATTCAATTCAATACTTTATTCTCTCAAAACCAGACCACTGGTACAAGAGGTACATATACACAAACAAAAATAACAGTCGAGGGTAGAAAAATAGACAAGTGTATAAAGAAAAAAGAAAAGAATGAAGTAAACATATAATCAGTTATATTTATGGAGGATTCAAGAAGGATAGACAGTTTTAAAATTTTTCTCAATAAATTTTGACAATGATTTTTGTATTTCTACATTATTTGTGTTCATGAGTTCAATAAACTTGAAAATATTAGGATTTTTACAATATCTATTTTGGAGAAATATTTTTCTGTCTTTTGAAAAGTATTTGCATTCCATAACATAATGAAATTCATCATCAATACTTTTACTGACAGTAACAAATGGTACATATTCTTAAATTTCTCTCAATATTTTTCCATCTACCTGTTTCAATTGGCAAATGATGATTACGTTCATAGTTTTGTAAATATAATTCTTAAATCTTTTGGAAAATTCAGCAAATGATATTCAAGGCCGAAGTTTGTTTTAAAAATTCTATAATTAATACCTTTGGGTGAACTATCAACAATGCTCCTCCATTCTTGTACAAATTGATTTTTTCGGGTTTCTTTAATAATGGACTTAAGTCAGTTAAAGCTATGAAATGTTTGATTTGTCCATATATATAAGACACTCCACAAGAATAAAGGATATCTTGTATACATTTTATCCATGGGTGTACAAAAGACCCATAGATATAATACTTATAAAAATAGGAATAAATCACATTTGTAAGTTTACTTCCATGGGCTGTTAGAATTTTTGCCCAGTTCATAACCATTTTTAATTTTATAAATATTGACAGTGGATATCTACCTGTTTCTCCATACACCATACAATTTGGGGTACTAAATTTAAGATTAAGAATAAACTTCAGGAATTTTAATTGTACTTTTTCTATTATGTCTAAATTTTCATAACCCGAGACTTCACAAGAATAAAGTAAAATTGGGTTGATGACTTTATCAAACAAGTCTACCTGATAATTAATTGGTAAATTAAAATAGCGAATTTTACGTAGCTTTTGATGCTTGTTTAGGAGATAGGTAATTGATCTAATTATGTAATTCAAACATTCAACTCACTCAACTGTCAAAAGAAAACAAACAGAATTTGAACACCTTCTCTTTTTAACAAAAGCAACTCTTTTTCCTTCTTTTGTTAAATTTTATACATTTTACTGCAATATATGCCAGGAATTTATAACACTGAACTTTAATTAGAGAGCTAAGGAGAAGGAATTGGATAATTGAGCAAAACTACAAAATTAATCTAATATTTGATGTCCTTAACATTTTATAGTTTCTCTACTATTATCACCAAAAAGTTCCATGATTGAGGATGAAATGCAAGCTTTCTATTGTACTCAGCATTTATTATTTTTTTTATTTAGATAAGGAAAGCATTAATGCAAGAGTAAGTGGATACTAGAAGCAATGGGGACATTTAAAACACAGATGTTGTGGGAAGCCATCAGGAAGGGTGACCTGACAGGAACAATTGGTCTTCTAGAGAGTGGAAACATTAACCTAGAGGAGAGGGATGGAGTAAGTCTTACTGACAGACAGACAGATAGACAAGTAGAAACATAGACCTGGAGGAGAGGGATGGAGTAAGTCTTACTGACAGACAGACAATGGAAACATAGACCTAGAGGAGAGGGAATGGATAAGTCTTACTGACAGACAGACAGACAAGTAGAAACAAAGACCTGGAGGAAAGGGATTGGGTAAGTCTTACTGACAGACAGACAGACAATGGAAACATTGACCTGGAGGAGAAGGATGGGGTAAGTCTTACTGACAGGCAGACAGACAGGTGGAGATAAAGACCTAGAGGAGAGGGATGGAGTAAGTCTTACTGACAGACAGACAAGTAGAAACAAAGACCTGGAGGAAAGGGATGGGATGAGTCTTATAGACAGATAGACAGACACACAGACAATGGAAACATAGACCTGGAGGAGAGGGAATGGATAAGTCTTACTGACAGAGAAAGGCAGGTGGGGGTAAGTCTTTCTGGCAGACAAGTAGGAGTAAATTATTCTGAAAGACTTATGGATAAGTGGATGTATCTACCAGCAAGAGAGGGATATGTTGACTTACAGACAGACAGACAAGTAGAAGCAATTATTAGTTCTTACCAACATGTTTCTTCAGGATTTCATGATTTCAGACTTGAAATAATTTCCATACTCATCTGAATATATTTTTAACTTACATGTATATCAGTATCTTTGCTGTTCTAAAGAAAATGTTTCCCTGAAGTGTATATTTTTTGCTTACAGAATGGCCAGACATTCCTGATGTTGGCTTGTGAGTTTGGGGAGCTGAATATAGTCCGGGAACTCCTCGAGGCACATGTGGATCCAAATGCTGTAGACATGGTAAGAAAAAAATACACATGTACCTTTATTACTCCTAAAGTAAACTCACTCTTGTATTCATGGTAAGAGAAATATACACGTGTACCATTAATAATCCTATAGAAAACTCACTCTGTATTGAAGTCTGAAATATGCGGGGTTAGTTTTTATGTTATATGTAATATAAAAAATGGTTTAACTCTTAGTTAAATGAATGTATGAATTGTTAACTTTGTTTTATTCAGGATAACTGGAGTGCACTGTTATATAGTGCAAAGGAAGGACACCTGGAGATTGTAATAGAGTTGTTAGAGAGAGGGGCTGACATTGAGCACAAGGATATGGTACAATCACTCACAACACTACTCAGATATTGCTATTTTGATTGTCTATATTTAGATCACAAGAAGAAGATTAGCAGTCATTGTTGTTTAATTAAATTTCAACAATTAACCAATAAATTGATTTTTTTATATACATTTTGCTCTGTTCAACTCAATGAGTTGTCCTCTTTTTCAGGATGGCTGAGTTTTGATTACATTTTGTATTTTTGTTGCATTGACACGTGCTTGCTCTTTTTCAGTGTGGCTGGACAGCTCTGATGTGGGCGTGTTACAAGGGAAAGTATCTAGTGGTTCAGGAACTTCTGGAAAGGGGAGCAAACTGCAACATTAAAGCTGAGGTAAACAGAGTTGTTTCCCTTGATAAAGAAAATGATAATGCTTTATTTACTTTACCTTTACCTGAAAAAAATGTTTTGAGAAACATAAGTAGACAACAATATGCTCCATTTGAAAAACTAAATAAAAGATAGTGTAAATAGTTTTGCTGATTGTGTTTAGATGAACATGACTTGTTTGGCCTGGGCAGCTGGACGTGGTCACACTGATGTGGTGAAGATTCTGATTCAGAAAGGAGCCAAAGTTAATACACCAGATAAAGTAAGATGTCTCGTTAAATGTAAAAATCTCCTCATAGTTTATGTAAAAAACAGTCCCAAGTTATTGCGCAGATAACTGGATATCAGTTGTCTTATTTCTGCTTTGAATAATTAGTAAAGCAGTATATTTCTTTGATCTGTATCTAGTAACCGTTTTGTTTTGACAGTACGGCACCACCCCTCTGATCTGGGCCTGTAGAAAGGGATATCTCGAAATTGTGGAAACCCTTCTTAATGAAGGAGCAAACACTGATGTCGTGGGGATGGTAAATATCCAGTAATCATAAATTAGATTGACATATCTTAAATGGATGATTGTTTTATTGAAAGTCAGTCTATAATAGGGATATGTGAAAGAATGAAGAATGTGTTTATTTAAACAATATTCGCTTTATAGAATTCCTGGACTGCTTTGTTGGTGGCAGCTAAGGGTGGATTTACTGAAGTTGTTCATCAGTTACTGGAGTACGATCCCAATGTTAATGCTGTAGACAAGGTATAGGAAGCTGTTAAATGTAAATTATGCACATACAAATCTGATTTTTTAAAAAAAAGGAATTTGATTTCATTAAGTCATACTGTAAATTGTGTAATCACCTCAAAAATAAGTTTGAAAACTGTCCGCATTCACATATTATTTGTGATGTATATATTGGCAGGATGGATTTACGGGCTTGACGATCGCAGCTAAAGAGGGATACACTGAGATAGCTCATGATCTTCTCTCAAAAGGAGCCTACGTTAACATTAAGGATCGGGTATCTACTGTTACAGTCATTGATTAACTTAAGCTGTTCAATAATCTCTTTAGAGGACCTTTTTTAAAAAAAATTATCTATCTTCCGAATGTTTTCCTGCATTATTTCTTGACTGATCCAGAAGCGAATGGGTGCAAGAGTTGTAACATTTCTATAAATGATAATTTTATAGGCAGGGGACACGATTCTGATCCATGCAGTGAAGGGCGGCCATATTGAGGTAGTCCGAGCTCTGATTGATAAATATGCTGACATTGATGAAATTGGAGCGGTAAGATACTGTATAAATTCTATAATCACTTTTTAATTTAAAAATGTGAATGATTTTTTGTTATTATGGCATCGAGCTCTTGAGCTCGAATGCCATGTAGCAGGCGACCAAACTTTACGCAACCGAATGTGTCAGTCCATGCATCCGCAAAAAAAATAGCAATAACAGTGCATCGATTTCTTTGAAAATGTTCACAGTGAATAATAGCTTGAAATAAAATTGTATCAATTATGTAGAAGTCTACAAATAATTCTGTCGCATACCAAAGAAACCCTGTTTTATTTTCACACAAGAAAAACGTGACAGTTTCTTGCGGATGAATTTCTAAAGAAAGGCTGTGTTGAATGACATGAATAACATTTACGAAGGAGAACCATGTAAACACAAACAACTAAATAGGCGGTAAAATAACCACAATATTAAATTAACACGAATGCTAGAAGACTGAAAGGATTGAATTTCCAAATCTAAACCTTACTTTTACAACCTTATAACCAATTTTATCATAAAAACTGGAAGTACCATTTCTTCCATATCGCATTTTACTGTATAGGCCTACCAACCCGCTCATATCTCGATCGTAGTCATAACGGAGCGAGTTACGGTTGTTGTTTAGATGCACTAAAACAATGCTTAGAAATTGACAATTAGAATAATATTCAATAAATTCATTAAATCCTTGATAGTTCTTTAATTAACTGTAAAAAGATGAGTTTGATATCCAGCATTAACATGTTCGACGGTGTCTAGTCAATTCGAACCCTGCTCTATTCGGACCATGGCATAATGCCCCAGACTGTAATTGTGACATTTTCTTTAAAACTTAATATATTTATTAGTCACTTATTTGACCTACTGCTATCTTCAAATTAAAAAAAAATGTTTTGAAATTGGTTTTCATGTTCGATGCCATTGAAGCCTTTCAGGCTTTTGATCATTTAATTTTTATAAACTGAGCTGCTTAAATTGTCAGGTATTAATTGATTTTATGATGTAATTGATTTACAATGCATGAAACATCATATAGAGCATGATAGGTTTCTTTCAGGAGGGTAAAACAGCTTTATATTGGTCAGTAGAGAAGGGTTATGTAGAAATCTGTAAACTGCTGCTTAACAACGACCCTGACCTGGAAATCGCCAACAAGGTCAGTCTTAGTGTTCTCTACTTAAATGTGTGAATATTTATTCTTCAGCTGAGGAAATTTCATTTTTAAAATCTAAACTTGAGGAATGCAGATGAAAGATAAAAATGTTTATATGATCAATATGTATTTTTAAAAAAACACATGCAAAAGAGCCATATGCTAGTTTGTAAAATTGATGGATGTTAATCATATTTTTTTTATTTCAATTTAGCTGTTACAAAATGTATGTTCATTCATATTGAAACAAGGGTTAATTAGATTAAAATATGTCCATTTTTCTGTTATGTAGGATGAAGACACCCCTCTATTGAGGGCAGTAAGAAGTCGTAATGAGCCGTGTGTTAGATTGCTACTAGACAAAGGGGCCAGAGTGTCAGCTGTAGACAAGGTCAGTAGGTCATAAGTGTTTTTATTAAAGTTATCAAATTATCACATCTACTTCTACTCAAAAGTACCCGGTGAAAAACAATGTATATCTCTTCCGAAAATGAACAGACAGAGGTAAGATAAGATTTGTAAGGAGTTTTATTTTGATGATTATTTTTTAAAAGAGTTTGTTGTGAGTTTCTAAACCTGATTAACATACTCTCAATAGTGTGTCAGAAGTGCTGGATAAAACTTGACGATTAAAGTGAATATCATTTTTAAATTATTAGAAAAATGCTGCTGCAGAAATTGTCTACCTGGTTGAATTAACAAGATATTTATATTTGAATACAGGGGTTTTCAGAAAAGATTATTTTCTAACCTTCTTCATAAAATGGCTAAAAAAAGATACATTGAAAATGATAATAAATGATTAAGATTAATTTCAAAAATGATGCATCAATGTTAAAGCTAGTAAGACTTGCCTCTAGCTTCATTTTAATTGTGTCTGTGAGTGGACTATTGGCCAGGTTGGATATACAGTGGGTAAGGCTGGCTTTTATGTCTGTGTGTAAGAATATTGCTAGACAACAGATCCCAGTTAATTAAGGCTGCTGATAAAATATATTTAATTCTAGCAGAATCAAGAGAGAAAAGTAATGGGTGAAAAATTCAATTGGTATAAAATTTGCATACAATGTGATTGTATAAAATTTATTGAGTTGATATCTGTATATTGTAAAGAGGTAATGCATACAATGTGATTGTGTAAGATTTATTGAGTTAATATCTGTATAATGTAGAGAGTAGATATCTGTATATATTGTAGAGAGGTGATACAGCACTACATATCTCCCTGAGAGCCAGGAGTAAGCGAATCACTGAGCTTCTTCTTCGTAACCCTAGGAACAGTCGTCTCCTATACCGACCCAACAAGGCTGGAGAGACTCCCTACAACATTGACGCATACCATCAGAAAGGGATACTTACCCAGATATTTGGTCACAGTAAGTAAATTCCCCTCCCATCAGGGGATTCTAAAAGTATCTCTTCCCAGTTAGTGATTTCCCCTTGCATCTAAGAAGAACTCCAGTAATGTTGTACCAGTGTGATTTGCAAGTACATTTGTAGTAGATCACAGGAATTTTCATCCATCCCATCTGAAGGGGGTTTCCTAGATATTTTGCCCAAGTAACCCTCCCCCCCCCCCCCCCCATTAGGACCATGTTCATCCAGGTCTTTTGTCATTAAAAGTGATTTCTTCTCCCATAAGAATTAGATCCTCCTTCTGAGAACATATTGTGACACCTAAAGGCCTGTAGAGATTAAAAAAAATGCCTGTCAAGTGTCAATACATTTAAATGACTGCACATGTTTGTTAATCTCCTCTGGATAAGGGTACATGCATGTTATATTATGGAACTTCTCTTGAATTCCTTATGCATAATGTACTTGACATTCAGAAAGCATAGATTTATGAATAAGTATGCTGTAAATTTTTTTAATTTAGAGTAAATGTAATGAGCTATGGATACTTTACAATGTATAATAATACAATTTATACTGGTTTCCTTCTTTTTATTCCACATAAATATTCAAGATAACCACATTGTTTATTTTTCTCTGATAGGAAATTTAAATGCTAATGATGGCGAGAATTTACTTGGGTACGAGGTGTACAGCAGTGCCTTGGCAGACATCCTGAGTGAACCCTCCCTCAACACCCCGATTACAGTGGGGCTGTATGCCAAGTGGGGGAGTGGCAAATCTTTCCTCCTCAGTAAACTACAAAGTAAGTATGTCAAATACCCAATGAAGAACAAAAAAGTAAAAAGTTAACATGTAATCAAAGAATATTTTGCGAGGGTATTTTCAACAATACATTCTGCAAAGGGATTATTTTTGCTAAAGTTAAAAAGCAGGTAGATCATATTTTATATATGGTTTAAGAATTTAAAGAACATTTTGAATGGAGGTTAATATTTCAACATTTTTTTCTGATCATAAAAATCACATGTAATTCATTGGTCAAGAAATGGTTAAGTATTTTAGTGATTTGCACTAAGATTTTGTTTGTAGAGGAGATGAGAACTTTTACCCGAGCTAACAAAGAGGATCACTTTACCTTCAGCTGGACTCTGTTTATCATTCTACTCCTACTGAACAATTTAGTGGGGCTTACCCTGGCCATGACTGTGGGGTGGGAGGTTGGCCTAGGGGTAGGGCTTGGACTGTTCTTGCTAGATTACTTATTTCTGGGTAAGTAGCAATATTTCAACTACTGTAGATCATTAAGGTATTGTGAAATCCTATTTTCGAGAGATAGTTACTTGGTATTTATCATTGAGTTAAATTTTCACTAATTTGGTTATTGCTGTAGATAATCTTTTAAAATACAAATAAACACAAGAATATATTTTGTGAGCAAACATTCTCATGTAAATACATGAAAATAAAGTTCCCCTGAATAAAAAGTAAAAAAAAAAATATATTTTATGTTTGATTGCTGTTGTAGGCGTTCTTTACCTGCTTTGTCACCGGTACAACCTGAAGTATGCTAACCGCCTTAGTCTGTTACTCGGCAGGAAGATCCAGGTGACCACCTCCCTTCTACAGGTCCTCTTCCTCAACTCCAAACAGGTGTCAACCTCTTCTAAATATGTGGAGCCCTCCGTCAAGTGAGTGTTATGTATAGCAATTGAATTCATTTATGATCAATGTTAAAATAAATGCATGTTTATGTTTTCCTTCTAATTTTTTTGGGTGACCTGTTAAAATTATGTACATGTAAATATTCAAGATTTACTTCACCAAATTTTGAGAATGTCTGATCAAGGCACAGGCACTGCAAAACTTAGTCTCATTTTTCCACTATAAATAATTTTGTAAAAAGTGACACTGAGATCAAAAAGTGAGCTCTTTAAAGTTTGATGCCCTTGGAGCTAGTAGCTATACAGGGAAGTAAATGGTTTGTCTTGTTGATTTCTGGTTACAGGTTTCTGTTTTCTGAGGGCACTAAGCTGACCAGTGTGGGAGGGGAGAAGGCCCTGGCAGCAATGATTGGAACCCTTGGAGAGGCCTTGGAACAAGAGTATGGGTCAGTGGTGGCCAGACTGTTCAGAGTCTTCAAACCTCACCCTGACAGTAAGCTATCACACAACATTCACTGAAGATGTACATGTATATGGGAAATCATTTACGGGTATTAGAAAGCCTTTTAGAGCATTGTACATGTATTTCACAGTCATGATAAAAGTGATTGAAATGATTTAAATACACATTCTCCAATAAGTATCATGCATGAATGTATTTAAAGCACTGCTTTGTAATTTTTAAGAATATGGATACATGTATTACATTAATTTCAGAGCCATATACTGGTCGGTTTAAGACACTGTGCTGTGTGCCCTACTTTGTGATAGTCTATCTGGTTTGTCTGGCCCTGGAAATTGGAGCATACCTACTGGTCTCTCACTTTGCCTTTAATCAGTTTACAAATAAGGATCCCATTTACAGCAATACTACAACTGTATCTGTCACACACAATCAAGTGGAGGAGTATCCAGCTCTGTTTGGGGTTCTTTTCTCCATCGCTATCATTGTGGGACTCGCGATCATTGGTAACATCTACACCTGGGGACAGGCCATTCTCGCCCTCCTCTCATCACAGAGAAGACGAATCATGAAGGCTGCGGATAGAATCGACAAGATTAAGGTGGATGGTCTGATGCACATTCTGAAGTGTGAGGTGGATTTAATGGCTAAGATGGTGACATTCATGGACAAGTTTACAGAGAACCAGACAAGGCTGGTGGTGATAGTCGATGGACTAGATAGCTGTGAGCAGGACAAAGTACTGCATGTGCTGGACATTATAAAGGCTCTCTTCTCTGATGAGGACTCCCCTTTTATAACACTCCTTGCTATAGACCCACACATCATTATTAAAGGCATTGAGAGTAACATAAAGACTGCCTTCCAGGACTCTAATGTTAATGGTTATGATTATCTGAGGAATGTGGTGCACCTTCCGTTCTATCTACAGAGTCAGGGGATGGCCATTAAAAAGCAGGATATGGCCAAGAGTCCATCCACATTTGAAGTATCTGGGAATCCTGAGTCTCCATCCAAAACGAGAAGGGTAAGTTAGATATGGGGAAGTAGTATAACCAATCTTCAGTATTCGGAACTCTGTTGTATCGAATACCATCGGTATGTCAAAGTGAATCTATCCCCATTGTATTATGAAACAGGTTTTCAACTTCTATGTGTCAATCCCACAGTAGTAGAATTTTGTAGGTCACATGAGTTTGAATGACTATGACAGAAAAATTAGTTTATACTTTCTCTTGTCATCATAAAACTGTAAAGAAACATGTAAAAATGAGTTTAGATGTACACATGTACATTTGTGAGCATTATAAAGATATTAATTCATTAGGTAAGGAATTTAGAAAACGAAAAATCTAAAAATGTCTTGAATCTACAAGACTTGAAAATACATACAGTGGTAATTGATATTTAGAGTTATCAGCATCAGGAGTCTGTAGTGTCAGGCTATTCGACTGGAGAGCTGTCCATGGATAAGACCCGTCGCCAGCGCCAGTCCAGTGTGTCTCACTCCTACACATCCTCCATGGATCTCACTAACACAGTTACCAAGACGGACTACTTCAGCGACATCAACCCTCGCAGCATGAGGAGACTGATGAACATTGTAGCAATTACAGGTATGACAATGGAATACAGGTGTTTGTGCCTTAGATGTTAGGGATAGCTGCAGTTCTTGTAGCCAGCTGGTCATTAGTGTGTTTACTTCCTGAGGTAGAGGTCTTGTTTCAAAATCTGACCAAATCCAACAAACTTAAAACTTTTAAATGTACATTACATGTACTATAGTATAGTTAATTATCTCATTCCAACTACTGTAGCATTAGAAGAAAAGAAATAGGTCTTATAGAGTGGGACTTAAAATGTTAAAATACCAGATTTATTTGTCTAAGTTATGGAGGTGTAGGTGCATAGAAGAATATTCATTGCATTGGTTTAGACTGAAGGAATAAGCTTCAATTTGACATTTCATCCTAAACTACTTACATTGAACATTACCAGATAACTACAATTAGACTAGCTAACAAGATTTTATTCTTAAAATCAGGGTTCTCCATCATTTGAAATATTACTGTGTTGCAGACTTTTCGTGAACCACTAATATTCGCGGTATTTTCGCAATCAAATTCGCGACCGAACCACAATTCATTATAATCACACACACACACTTTTTTGAATCACCAATTCGTTATACAAATGGTATGATTGTACATATTGATAAAAAATGAATTAATGGAATGGATATTTAAAACATTTTTTCCATATCTTATAATGTACAAACAATGTACTATATTAAGACAAACCAACTGTACTGTACCCCCCCCCCCCCCCCCACTTAAAAAAAATAAGTACAATATAACAAAAAATCTTAAATAATATAATACTTATATCACTCTCTACAAGTTGTTCGTTTATATTAAACCTTGATATTTTTGTATATACAATGTATATTTAACTTCATGTTTTACACATTCTCTGAAGAGCAGAGGCAATTCTGGTCGATAAAATCGATCTACTTCCCCATTTTAAAAGTAAATTTGTCGTGATTTTTGTCAGTTGATCGAATTACGAATTTAAAAAAAGAAACTTCAGAATAGTAAAATACTTTTAGAGGGTGCCTTTAAATTCTTCAACAATACATTTACATCAATGAAATGATTACGGTACCGTAACGATGTTTGTTTGACTCACAGTACCAACATAATTCTAAGACGTGGAACTGAAGTATAAAGACATATTTATAATAATTTTTTTTAATTTCTAAATAATATCTAAACATGGAACTAGCAGTTATACGGTTACATGGAAGTGTGCAAACAAATTTTTTGTCTTTGTTCCTTCATGCGTAAAGTCCAGCAAGGGTCTAGGAGATAATTGATTATGCAAGGTGAAGCAAGACAAAGTTCCCTAATTAAGAGAAAATTAAGTGCTCTGCCTTAAAAATTGAAAGACGGTAGATTTGTTTGATTAAAGTTTAAGTTAGAGAGAATTTATTTTCTGATTATCACAGATCTTACTGTGTCGCAAAATTTTTTACTGTGTCGCACACATATAATTTGAATCTTACTGTGTCGGGACCAACACAGTAAAACAGCTCAAGGAGAATCCTGCTTAAAATATAAGGGAAACTTGCCTTTAAATCATTGGTGAAGCCTCCAATTTCATTTTGTTTTAACTTAGTATATTTAGCTGGTTATGCATCCTGATTACATTGAAAGCTTGTCGTTAATGGAGATGAAATCTAGCATCATAAACTGTCAAAGCAACTGAATAGAGAAAGTGCTTTAATGAAAATAAATACTTTGAGTGATTTAGTACATTAATTGAACTATTATTTTTCAGCACGTCTTTTGCGGGCCTACAACATAGACTTTAACTGGCACAGATTGGCTGCCTGGATAAACATAATAGAACAATGGCCGTATAGAGTATCCTGGATCATCATTTACTTTGAGGAGAACGAGATTGTAGATCATAACACTACACTCCTGTCTCTGTATGAAAAGTAAGATACATAGAAATAACATACCAGTAGATCATAACACTACACTCCTGTCTCTGTATGAAAAGTAAGATACATAGAAACACACCAGTAGATCCTAACACTACACTCCTGACTGTATGAAAAGTAAGATACATAAAAACACACCAGTAGATCATAACACTACACTCCTGTCTCTGTATGAAAAGTAAGATACATAGAAATAACATACCAGTAGATCATAACACTACACTCCTGTCTCTGTATGAAAAGTAAGATACATAGAAATAACATACCAGTAGATCATAACACTACACTCCTGTCTCTGTATGAAAAGTAAGATACATAGAAATAACATACCAGTAGATCATAACACTACACTCCTGTCTCTGTATGAAAAGTAAGATACATAGAAATAACATACCAGTAGATCCTAACACTACACTCCTGTCTCTGTATGAAAAGTAAGATACATAGAAATAACATACCAGTAGATCCTAACACTACGCTCCTGTCTCTGTATGAAAAGTAAGATACATAGAAATAACATACCAGTAGATCATAACACTACACTCCTGTCTCTGTATGAAAAGTAAGATACATAGAAATAACATACCAGTAGATCCTAACACTACGCTCCTGTCTCTGTATGAAAAGTAAGATACATAGAAACACACCAGTAGATCATAACACTACACTCCTGTCTCTGTATGAAAAGTAAGATACATAGAAATAACATACCAGTAGATCATAACACTACACTCCTGTCTCTGTATGAAAAGTAAGATACATAGAAATAACATACCAGTAGATCATAACACTACACTCCTGTCTCTGTATGAAAAGTAAGATACATAGAAATACACCAGTAGATCATAACACTACACTCCTGTCTCTGTATGAAAAGTAAGATACATAGAAATAACACACCAGTAGATCATAACACTACACTCCTGTCTCTGTATGAAAAGTAAGATACATAGAAATAACATACCAGTAGATCATAACACTACGCTCCTGTCTCTGTATGAAAAGTAAGATACATAGAAATAACATACCAGTAGATCATAACACTACACTCCTGTCTCTGTATGAAAAGTAAGATACATAGAAATAAATACCAGTAGATCATAACACTACACTCCTGTCTCTGTATGAAAAGTAAGATACATAGAAATACACCAGTAGATCATAACACTACACTCCTGTCTCTGTATGAAAAGTAAGATACATAGAAATAACATACCAGTAGATCATAACACTACACTCCTGTCTCTGTATGAAAAGTAAGATACATAGAAATAACATACCAGTAGATCATAACACTACGCTCCTGTCTTTGTATGAAAAGTAAAGTAAAATACAAAGAAACAACAATAAAGAAAGTCTTCAGTACAAAGTAAAATACAGAGAAATGCATAAAGGTCAGTCTCCAAGTCTCTGGATCTGAACATGTAAAGCTGTATGAAAAGTATGTGTATATGTACATAAACACATCAATAAGGGTAGTCTTGATCTCTCATGATCTGAATGACAAGTGAAGCTGTACAACTACGAGGGGTTATCAAAAAGTTCGTGGACTGATGCGATAAAATTAATACTATGTAGCTTGTGCTTACAAAATTTATAAGGAACGTAAATCAACAAAAGTTTAAGAAATGTTGAAAATTTTAGCTTGATACGTTGACAATTTGCCAAATTATTCTAAAATTAAAAAGACATTATATGATCATCCGGCGCTGTCGCCGTTTAGTTTCATGACGTCCGACAACGTCATTGTTTTTCAATGTCCGCTCTGTCTACCTAATACACTTATCTTGATGTGATTACCTGGAGTTAAGTAAGGACTTAAGCCCGTCTTGTTTATATGACTTTACAATGTCATGAACAGCTGCTTTCAATGCATATAATATTGTAAATGAATCTATAATAGGGAAAGATCCTCACTTGGTTATGCCAGAATACTTCTAAAGCTTGTTGTTCATTTTTTACCACATATGATTAACGTCACTTTTCGACGAGACTGACTTTTGACACTCTGACTACAAATCGACATAAACTGTGCATTTTTCATCTCTCTGAATCTTTTTGGATATTTAAACGAGTACTCTGGATGCATTTTATTTTTCTGCAGCCCGTTCAAACATTCTATAGGTCTATACAAGTTTTTCCAGGTGCGAAACTTTATAGAATGTTGGAAAAAGAAACCTCTCCCCCCTTTTGACGTCATTTTCAAGCCCTTAATTGTTTGGACACTCCTTATAAAATTTACGATAAAAATTCATAGAATTTACAGAATGGGGTAAAAATTACAGATTTTACGGAACAATTGTGTTGTACCAAATGCCTGAATTTACGGGGTTTTTTGATGACAAATGCTTGAAAACAAGAGGTTTTTTTCAGTTAAACTGCCGTAGAAAAAAATGTCATATTTGAGGTTGCGCCGCCTGGACATACCATTGCTTACAAAAACATTAACAATTTATAAAAAAATCTAACTTATGATTTATGGTTTATTCTACAGATAGAAAAGATGATGCTAACTAAATGTGTAAAAATTCATTGATGTACCTAAAGCGGTTTTAATTTTATGGCGCTAGTCCACGAACTTTTTGATAACCCCTCGTACATATAAACACATTAATAGGGGCAGTCTTAATTAAGCCCTCAAGATTTGAACAACAGGTGAAACTGGATTAATTATTAAAATACACAGTTAATAAAATACATGGAAACATGTCAGCAAGTTTAGAACTTCAGCTCTGCTAAGCTTCAGAACTTAACCATTATGTACTTGTAGTGAAAATAATGCACAGGAAAACACACACAAACACCTATAAAGGAAGTCATGAGACCACTACAGCCAAAAAAGCATGAAGCTTTCCTTGTGTTTGTAGGGCATATACAAACCTTTAAAAAAATGTTAATGAATATCATAACTACCTATTCATGATTTCATTTGGCTTCAATAAAAAAGTATTTCTTTTAATAGAGTGGAAGATAAAATCCCAGTGTCTAAGGAAATCGATCCTCTTCTAGAAATAGACAGGAATCCTCGAAAGATGGAGGCCTTTTTATCGAGCAAACTGAGTAACAACACATTGCTGAATGTGAAGGATCTGAGAAAGTTTCTACCATGTACCATCAACCTTGATCCCTATCTCAGGAAGCTGATCAGAGGTGAGAACGTTTCTTTCTCCATCCCTATCTCAAGAAGCTGATAAGAGGTAAGAAAGTTTCTATCTCAATCCCTATCTCAGGAAGCTGATCAGAGGTGAGAAAGTTTTTATCTCAATCTCTATCTCAAGAAGCTTATCAGAGGTGAGAAAGTCTCTATCTCAATCCCTATCTCAGGAAGCTGATCAGAGGTGAGAAAGTTTCTATCTCAATCCCTATCTCAGGAAGCTGATCAGAGGTGAGAAAGTTTCTATCTTTCACCATCACATGTAGTAAAAGTTTTTTAAGGTCTATTTACATGTAACTTTTGTTATTTGATGATTTAGCAATTAACAGTAAGTTCTAATTAGATTTTCATAGGAGCAGAATTCTTATATTTGAAAGTAATTTTGCATTTTAAGAAATTTTAGTAAAAGGTATACCAGGTAGATAGATGTAATGTGTATATTAGATTTATCTAAGGAAGGCAACTATGGAGGACTTAAATACATGTAAATCAATTTTGTTTTCCAGAGATGCAGAAGAACATGGACTCCCTACAACCAAATTTTCCTCTGGGTCCCATGAACTTTCCTCCCCCTGCTGGTACAGCCCCCACCCCAACAAGGAGATCTGAAGTCCAGAGACACGTTCAGCAACCTTTTGTCCCCATGCCTCAGATGTACCCACAACCTAGACTTGATCAGATAGGCAGAATGCATCCCATGATGCCTTACAACATGATGCCATTTTATCAACAGGGATACATGGATGCTCCTTATCTGTCTGGTGGTACGGCTCCCTCTACTGGTCGAGATACACAAAAGGGCAAGGGGGTGGATCCAGAATCTGCCATTCAGGTATCAGAGTATAGTTTTGACAGGTTTTTTTTTTTTTTTTAGATGTTTATGTGTTGCACATGCTCACAACTTTGTAAAGGTCATTTAATATTATATACAGAGAGGAAATTGATATTGTCATGGGTACATATATTAAATCTTATAATGTTCATCAAGATCAGAAATCAGGAGACCTTAAATAATAGTATTCAGGAAAATACTGTAAATCTAAAACCATATGCATACTTTAAGACATGCTTAGCTAGTTCTGTGTTACTTTTGAAATAGCTTGTCGAAATTTGTTGTTTTAATTTTTCTTTTGAACTTCTTTCAGAACTACCGTGACCAGGCCTTGAGTACTATGACAGTGGAGAATGTATGTAACCTGATAGAAAACATCAAAGGTCTCAATCCACAACAGGTGCAGGCGTACCAGAATCGTATTGTTGACAACAACATCTGCGGTATGGTCCTGTCCACGTGTGATGTGGAGGAACTTAAAGGGGTGCTTGAGATGAAGTTTGGAGACTGGCAATTGTTCAAATCAGTTTTGATTGGGCTCCGACAACGAGAGATGACCCATGAAGAAGTAGGACAGTTTGAACCAGGTTTTAATAAAGATGGCAACGAAGCTAGTGCTGGATTTGAGTCTGCCAGTAGTCAAAGCAGCAATGGATTTAGTCAGTTCTCAGAAAGGAGAGTGGACAAAAAAGGTGGGCAGGAACCCTTTCCCCAAATAGTGAAGGCAGAAATCTCTACTCCAAGGATGAATCGTATAGATAGTGCCTACCAGCAGGTGGCGTTCGAGACTGGTCTGCTGAGGGAAGCCATGAACAACTTTACAGAGGAATTGGAGGAAGATCAGATGCGACCGAACGTGTCATTTGCACTAGACACCAAAGGGCCATCACTAGATGACATGGATGATGGCAGTAACTTCAGCGAGAGTCAACCATTACTGAGGATGAGGCCATCGAGCCAGGTATTCAGCGACAGCCGACGTAAGGAGTCCCTGTGTGTGGTGCATGAGGCTGAGGAACACGAGGCCCCCACTGCCATGTTTTATCTGAACGAGACTGACAATGCCTCCTCCAGGGAGAGTGTGAGAGAAGGAGGGGCATCGGGGATCCCATTGGTAACCTTTCATAGAGGAGACCAATCAAAGGAGGAACATGTATAATGTTTAGAAACAAGGATGTTATACTTAGATTGAATTATTTTGTACAAATTAGTAATGATCATCCAAGGTCATTTCTATAGAATGTTCATGAATTATTATTAATGTAACTTAACAGCACACATTTTTGCAAAAATCAAGAGTGGTCAACACATTCCTTTAATCCGCTAGATTTTTTTCTTTAGGTTTTGTCATAATTTATTGTCTAATATTTATATCTTTGATTCTACAACGCCTAGTAGGATCATCAATTGCTAGGTCATTGATTTTATACCAAAAAATGACGATCCCTAGAATAAGAATTATTTTGATTTGTCAGCAGACAAGATGAACCAGTGTTATTTAGCTATAGAGGACAGTCCCTAGTTCCTTGTAGTGACATACATTTTAGTTTTCCTGTTACAGATTTCAGAATGAGATGATGAAATATCGATAGATAGATAGATCGTTAGAATTGTTGGAGAGTATATGTAGATTTTATGCATGTGTGTCATGCTCAGGTTTCATTAATTTAAGGTTGAAAAACTTGGAGTTGAAATCCAATATCTAGAAGGTTGGGTGTTATAGAAATTATATATCAATATAATGTTATTTTCATTACACTATAATTAAGATCAGGTGATAATTTGTTTTAAATGATGCTTTTTTTATTCTTAGCTTTGAATATTCATGTCAATCTCATGAGCAGAGTTGCCGTTCGTTCCTCTCTCAGACATCTCTGCAATATGGGCTAACGTTAAGATTTTTTAGATGATTAAAATGATATTCCATGGATCTATTCCAATCATGAATCAAAATGATGAAAATTATAGCTAAATACACACACACACACATATTTGTTGTTTATATAAGTAAAATGAATGTAAGCCGCAACAAGTTTCATTTTTCATTCAGTTCAATGAGAGTGATGACAAGTTGTCTAGATTTATAAGGGTGCTGGCAAAGAGGAGGAAACTAATATCACAGAGTCTACAATTTTTATTATTCTAGAGATTTGATAAAAGAATAATTTACAACCAAAATAAATGCGTTCAAGAACATGTACCAATCCATGCATCCATTTTTTTTTGTTTGTAGCATGTGTCCTTGAAATTATTTCAACCTATAAAATCCATATGTGGTCAAGTTGAACACATAACATTCAAAATAATGGCTTATGTTCTCCAAAGGATGGGAGCGTACCAATGCCAGTATTTCTGCAGTTCTGTGATTGGGCTTTCTTAGTTCATGTTTTAAACTTGAAAATTTAGTGAACTTGTACTCTCTAGATTTTTGGTAACTTGATATACATAACATTTATTCTGTTTTATTAGGATTGATGTATCTGTGCAGAGGACTGAAAATTTACTATTAAACTTTATACAATGAATAGTGCTTTTTCTTTAAAATTATTTATGAAATCATCAATACTTTTTAGCTCACCAGAGCCGAAGGCTCAAGTGAGCTTTTCTGATCGAAATTTGTCTGTCATCATCGTCGTCAACTTTAATCTTCTGAAGAACCACTGGACCAATTTCAATTTCAACCAAACTTGCCACAATGTATCCTTGGGTAAAGAGGATTCAAGTTTGTTCAAATGAAGGGCCACACCTTCTTCTAAGGGGAGTTAATTACGAATTAGTGAAAAATAAATGGCATCATTTAAAAATCTCCTCAAAAATCACTGTGCTAGAAAATACATGTATGAAACTTATGTTGAATCATCCTCAGGCTGTGTAGATTCAAGTTTATAAACTTATAAAAATCTTCTTCTCAAGAACAGCAAAACATTGATATGGAAGCATCGCCAGGTAGTGTAGATTCAAATTTGTTCAAATCATGACAACCCATCGGGGGGTAGGGTGGGGCCACAATGGGCAATCAGTGTTTTACATAGGAATACATAGGGAAAATCTTTAAAAATCTTATCAAGAATAGCAAAGCTATGATTGGTCATATTTATATGGAAGCATCCTCAGGTAGTGAAGATTCAAATTTGTTCCAATCATGACCTCCCTGGGTAGGGTGGGGCCACAGTGGGTGATCAATATTTTACATTGGAATACATAGGGAAAATCTTTAAAAATCTTCTTATCAAGAATAGCAAAGTCATGATTGGTCATATTTATATGGAAGTATCCTCAGGTAGTGTAGATTCAAATTTGTTCCAATCATGACCCCCCTGGGTGGGGTGGGCCACAATGGAGGATCACTGTTTTACATAGGAATACATAAGGAAAATTTTTAAAAATCATCTTAAGAACAGGTGGTCCATGGGCCTCTTGTTATAAATACAAAGAAATATTGTTGGGGGGGGGGGGGGGGTTACACCCCGTAAACCTCTTCCCTTGTATTGTCTTTTTAAGGAATAACTGTCTAATATTTTGGTTTCATGATGTGATCAATCGATTGGCTTGCGTGATAATTTGCATAAACGCCGAAGGCGTTTATGCATAAAATTATCACGCAAGCCAATCGATTGATCATCGTCATGAAACCAAAAAATCTGACAGTTATTCCTTATATTTACATGCTCTTGATTCTGCAAAGTCACGTGCTACAAGCCCCGCTTCTGTCTCTATTTGTCCCGCTCCGCACGTGATTTTTTTTTTCACCACGCCTTTCGATGAACCAGTAGATTCATGTATAGAAACAAGCATTCTGAGAGTATTGCATTAGCAAACCTAGTCCCCTACCGGCAAGTGTAATCTGGTTCCGTTCCCGTTAAGAATTGAAAATGCCATAATTCCGTCAAAAATTAATGAAGCAGGACGAAATGCAAACTTGATCTATAACTAATTAAGGTAAAGCCACACACCAAAAATCAGCTCAATATCTACCAGCGTTTAGAAGAAAATTGTGGAAAACCCGTAAAAATTGAAAAGGTCGTAATTCCGTCAAAAATCAATGAAGCGGAACGAAATGCAAACTTGATCTGTAACTCTTCAAGATACACTCACATACCAAAAATCAGCTCAATATCTGCAAGCGTTTAGGAAAAAAAAAAGCAGAAAACCAAGTGGGACAGACTGACGGACGGACAGACTCAGAGGAAACCTGTAGTCCCCTCCGGTTTCACCGGTAGGGGACTAATAAAGTATTTTTACTATTTGAAATTTTATCTCGGACAAAGACATTGGAAATGTAAATATTTTATTTTCTATCATTTTCTTTTGTGAACAGTCATACGAAAGCCCATCGAACTCATTTTCGTAGGTTTAAAAAATATTTTTCGCGTTATAACGCGACACTTTCGCGAATAAACGCGTAGTATTAAAGATGAAAAAATGAAGAGGGTGGTTGTATTGGGCTAGTGTGGGGACAACATTTTTCATAGAGAAGGACAGCGGAACCCAGGTGACTTGGATGTGTGCTGTGACTCACTTAGACACATGACGTTTGGATGGTGCACCCCCCCACCCCCCCCCCCTTCCAAAAAAAAAAATCTGATCATGAGAATTTTTATTAGACGCAATAATTTAGAAAAAACAAAAACAAAAACAAATACATGAATTCCTAGCCTATTATACCTATATTCCTATATCGGATATCGTTTTATGTTTTTGTTGACTTATAGAGGTTGCCTTTCTACCGATCAGTGGGCAACAGACCTAGTCTGGCTAACAGAACTTGAAGAGGTATTTAGATATTTTACTTAGGGGAATATCAGACATACACACGAAAAATACATTGTGCAAAAGATAACAGTACGAGGTTACTTTCGGTAGTAATGAGTCTTATTTGGGGTGTATATGTGTCCAAATGATTTTCTGTACATTCTTTCATACTGCAGTTTTATGTTCATATATATGTATTTTTTATTACCGAGTGGGGTGAATTTCAGTATGGAATTCCTCATGTCCATACCTACTATTAACAAGTCCATAACAATACATGTCTGAAAACCTTGGTTAAGGACATACGCAACGTAGTTTGAACTTTATTATCGTTTTCCCTGGAGTGGAAATGCTCTGATACTAAAAGGAACTGTGCTTCATTTTAATGTCTGTTGTACACTTCTTTTGAAACAAGTTTGGATAAACAAAACATCTAAAATATATGTTTAGTAATTTTTGTATATTTTTCTTTGAATTGTACAAGATTTTCCATCAATTGATATCTTTTCAAAACCCCTGGTAATGCATGCTGATTTTTTGTCTATGGACATCTGATGGCACTATAATCTTAAATTAAGAATATCTTGAAAAATTATCAGTAGATAAGATACGTTGCGTATGTCCTTAAGTCTATATTTAGTTGTTTTTTTTTAACCTCGCACAGTCATATCAAGCATAATTAAACTCTGTTATTGAGGGATTAACCCCACAATACAAAAATAAACCCAGGATACTGGAAAACACACACATTAGCCTAACAGTGCATCTCTGGTAAGAACAGAATTACAGATAAATGTATTATAGGCGGGGAAATTTGCCTGGCCTTTGGGATAATCCTGTCTCCCGCTCAAATGTCCACATCTTTTTTTTTTTTTTGGTTGTTGAAATTCTGCTAAATTGTCCTAAAATTAGCTTTGCAAGTTATTGTACCCTGCTACAGGCCTGACAATTATCTTTGTTCATGTTTTTATACCTTTAAAAATTGGTTCCTATATAAATATATACTTTAAAAAGTCTAACATTTCCAATGTTTTACCGAGTGGTCGTAAAAAACCTGATGTTTACTTGGACTGCAGAGTGAGATATTGGACCTGACGATGAGATATTGGACCGCTTACGTCACACTGTAGGCGGGATCAGCTATAAAATTTTATTTGCACTCGTGGTGTTCGACAGTGACAGAATTGACCATGTTTTACCGCACTGTGGCCTATAAAGGAAATTTACACCATGGAAGCCAGGACAAGAAACATGTCAAATAAATAAAAGGTACATAACAAAACATTTATTGACCGTGTTCTCAGACAAAGTGCGTTTTGTCGACCCCTCGAACCAAACTGTTTGGATCTTGGGTCCGACAAACGCATGTTGTCCGAGAACACGGTCAATAAATGTATAATGTATTTAATATTGAGCGTAAGTTTACATGTAGCACTACACTTTCCACAGTTCCAAGTTTTTTTTTTAACGCAAGTCGTGATTATAGCTGTGTCTTGTAATTTTTTTCCCTTTTATGAAATATTATAATTAGGGGCCTATATTATCCTGTATTGGCGCGAAATTGAATATCGTCACAGCTTTGTGTGACGTCATATCCGGCTTCTGCTATTTTCTTTGCATGAATTTGTTGAAGAAAACAAATATATATATGTTTGATACAACCTCACAAACTTGTTAAATCAGTATCCTAAATGCAACTACATGGTTAATATGCCACCTAAGATATTCGGTGGCAAAGCTGGTGCCGAAGAAAACAAAGACCCTAAAGAGGAAAAGAAGGATTCAAAAGGGGAACCCAGCATTCCAACAAATAAATGGACTAAAGCAGTGAAAAAAGTAAGTTTTAAATGGAACCAAGAATATCACCATTACCATTTAGTTTTTGAACAGAGAAATACTGTTTAGGCTAGTTGGATAGTGGTGAGTGCTTACCACGGGCACTTGAAGCGTGGATATCATACATATCGTAATATTCATTACCTCCCCCCCCCCTTTTTCCAACTACGAAAATATAACCATGGCCGTAGGAACCGGGGGGGGGGGGCACGGGGGGGGGGCGTGCCCCCCCCCAATAATTTTGCCGATATATAGATTACTATAGTAAACAGAGATACTATAAGCATGTGCCCCCTCAATAAAACCGCCTGAATACCCTTTTTTTTTTTTTTTGCTTGTCAAGGAATATTTGGTAGTTGACGACCTTTTTTTTTTTTTTTTTTTTTTTTTTGCTTGTCAGAAAATTTTTGGTAGTGCCCCCTCAACTGTCAACTGAAAAATGTTTGGGTGTGCCCCCCCCCCCCCCCAAACTGAAATTGCTTCCTACGGGCCTGATAACCATAGTATAGTCTCTATTTTCCCGAAAATATGAGACCATCTAAATATCATTATGTGCAGTCAGTACTTTCATTGAGGTTTGAAATTTGGCCAAATTTCAAATCTTAATAAAAGTACAAACTGATAGTTGAAGCCACACTTTTATAAGTATATGTCCCTTGGTCGCCATCTTTGGGGGAAAAACGAATTTTGCACATTGTCATTTCAATCAAATATACTTGTTTGATCTTGTTTTTTGATTGCCCCAGCTTAGGATTAGCCATACATTAAAAGAAACTTTTTTAACATGGTGATATACCATGAATTTATCGCAGCACGCCCAAATGTTTGGTATAGATAGTTTTCAGTAGGCCCAAATTAACGAGTTATTTCCCGTTGGCCGCCATATTCTAGGTCAACATGCTCATATTCCTTCATTATTCAACCAAAGTTAATTTTTTATACTGACAATTTTGGGATAGGAAGCATTGTCTTTCTGAAAAATATAGATTTGTTAGAGCCTCTTTTATTTCATAATTTTTATTCCATAAAGATTTTTCCCCAAATATATATACATGCTTCACCCTCTTAAATTTGGTAAAACAAAAAGGAAAAATTCCAAGGTTGACCAAGATGGCTGCAAAGGGAAATAACTCGAAGAGAAAATAAATCATATGAAAACTATCTATTGCTTTATTGATTCTGCAAAGGGAAACAACTTTTGCAAAGTGTGGATTTGAGTATTGCACAGAATGACATGCATTATAACACAAGTGAGTCATAATTTCATTTTTACACTGTAATATTTCATTGAAAACCAATTTTTATGAAAACTTACTGTGACAGTGAGGTCAATTTTAGCCAAGTTTCCTTAATTTTTTTCACTGAATCATGCAAAATTGTTCAAATTTTCTTGTCTTAAAATGCTAAACAAAATGATACACTAATAATTGAGAATAATTTATGAAATGATCAGCACCGAAATTTCTAACCTCAATTTAAGTACTATGATTTCTTTACATAATAGAGTCATAAAATTTTTATTTCGCATTTGACATGTAATATCACCCCATTGCCTACAGATAAAGTTACATGTATTTTGAAATTATGTGAAGAAAATGCAAAGAGTTCTACATTTTATGCTGTTTTAGTGACATAAAAAATGAGCAACAAATAACACTGCAACAATATTTTAGAAGAATGCTTTTTTCAATGAAATATATAGTATAAAAATAAAATTATGACTCACTTATGGCCTGAGGTACTGTATTTATGGAATTAATGTACAAACCACATATTTTCAGGAAAATAGAGACTCATTATGTATTTTGGTTAGGTAGTTGGGGGTTGGGATAGTTAATTGTGATATCCATGCTTCAGGTGCCTGTGGTGCATACTATGTGCAAAGATGGTACCAAAAGATGGCAAGCACTTAGGCGCAAAATATGTGGGGGTCCATCCACCCCTTTTTTTCTGAGTCCTTTGACCATAAAATTTTACATAGAGAAATTTTCGTACAATATATATAATTCAAGATTTTAATTACTTCTCAGTTACAGCCTTAAATAGACAAAATTCTCAATATTCTGTCAATTGAGAAATATCTTTTAATTTCATAATATTCTATCTCATGATCTTTCTTAAATACTATAATTTCCTTCTTCTTATCTATTTTTTTTCTCTCCTGAATCCCTCTCCAGGACGTTTGTTAACTGACCACTGATTTAATAGTTTAATTTAAGTAGTCGAGACAAGGGGCTAGCTAAATGTAGTTCTGATCAAAGTGTTAAATAAAATCAATAAAAAAAAAATTTCTGTTTACATGTGAAAATATACATGTATGTATGAAATATATCACTATCATTTGTCTTAATTTTATGAAAATTTTATCTTTTCAGGTAAAAACTTCGGTAAGTTCTGAAAACTCTTCTACATCTTGTTTCATACACAGCTGAAGTTTTTTCTTCTGATTTTTAAACAAAATACCATTGTCAATCCAACAAGATCAAGGTTTAATATATTTTGCTTAAGGTGTCAAATTCTTCTATATGTCCATACCATAATTTTGTCCATTAACCATAATTTCTGCCAACTTCTTTTGAACATAGATTGACCTTCAGAGTTAATTAAAATCATTATGCTACATGTATGACATGACCCGAGGAAAGGTCATTTAGACATTAAAGTAAAGGTCACAGGGTTAAGAAATTTAATCTTTAAGGCATAGGAAAAACAATTCTGTTTTGGAGTGCTCAGTATCTGAAGGTCATAACTTAAGGCAATGATTGCTTGCAAGTAGCAAGCATGAAATTAATCTATCATGATTCCTGGCCAGGATTTGAATGTTCCTAGGATTGATGTTTTAATACTTAGGACTGTGAAAGATGATACTGTCATACTTGTCTCACAAAAAATGTACAGGACCAGAGCCCAGAGGTATTACAACCTTCAACTACTGATATCTTGACAAGGATGGGCCCACTGGAATATCTTTACACAATGACAGTTTTCTTTCATAAGCTATTTAAAAGTATGTTATTTATCTTTAGCTGCCTTGTGGAACAGTCATGTAAATGTATGTAACTTTTGTCAAATTTTCCAAACCGGTACTTCATTGTATTTTTCCCCCCTTCTTTTTCCTTGCATTTTTTTTGAATGTTTGTTTAATTAATGCAGTGTATTTACCTTGACCTCGCTGTAGGGAGAGGGCTAAAATAGGCTATGCTTGCTGCCCAATCCCATTCACTTCATTTGAATAAAATTATGTATAAATAATAATAATAAAAAAAGCCATTATTACATGTAGTCATATTGACATGCAATCTTAATGCCCTGTTCACACGGAGAGTTTAATTCGAATTAAACGTAAGTTACTGCAAATTAAATTTGAACTGCATTCACAGGGGGAATTTAATGCGAATTAGTTTAATTTGAATTAATTTACTGCACATCAAATAACTTCGCATTAGCTCCGTGTGAACACTAAGTGAAGCTAATACAAATTAAGTTTTGACACATGCGTTGTGGCAAAATAAAGTCACATGCCACATGTCGGTGGTCAGATATAAGGTACGTACTTCTGCTATTTTTAGTGAAAAACAAAGGAAAATTATGTTAATCACTGAAATGTGTACAGACACTATGACATTATGTCAAATGGATCTGCTCTGCATAAGGTGACATGATTTGAAAATGACGTCATAATAGCCTTGCTGATTAGCCTTACTGTAGAAATAAAATTTTAATTTGCATTAGTTTAATTCTCATTAGCTGTCTTGTGAACGCAATTTAATTTGCAGTAGTTTAATTCGCATTAGTTTACTTCGCATAAATTTGCTGTGAATTAAACTCTCCGTGTAAACAGGGCATAAGATTCAAGTTAGTTCAGATCAGGGCCCTCAGGAATAAGTTGAAGCTACATCACGAGATTTGAGTTTAACAAGGGAGTCCATATAGGTAGATATCTTTTCAGTAGTGGCAAGACCACTGTGGTACAGTACTACACTAAATCATATTACCCGGTAATAAGCAAAACAAACTTGAGTTGTGTAAATCATTTTTATGCCCCCATAATTGAAGACTTGGAGGCATTTAGTTTTTTTTTTTTTTTGTTTTTTTTGTTTTTCTGTCTGTCTGTTTAACCTTTCCCATAACTTTTGATTTGTTGGAGCTAAGGTTTTCAACTGTATTAATTCTTTGTGACAAGACCTTTCTTTGGATACCAACATGTTTGACCTCTAGACCTAAGAGTTTGACCTACTTTTGCAAAATTTCTTTGGATACCTACATATTTGATCTCTTGGCCTTGGAGTTTGACTTACATTTGCAAAATTTTATCGAACTTTAACCTTGGACATATCTTTTGAATGGTTGGTGCTACGTCTTCCATACTTTACATGTTTAATCCTTGTGATGAAACTTTCCCTTGGACACAAATATTTTTAACCTTTGGACCTTGACCTTGGAGTTTGACCTACTTTTGAAAAAACTTGAACCTTGGCCATAACTCTTGAATGGTTGAAGCTAGGGCTTTCATATTTCACATAAGCTGCAGAACTATAGCTCTCTGGTTGAGAAAATTCAGACAGATAAACCAGAGATCTGGTTTATTTTTCCCAGTTTTCTCGACCAGAGAGCTACAGTACTGCAGCTAATTTTGCGTATTTCTTGAACTTTACAAGACATTCCCTTTAGTAAAAATAGTGTTGATCTTTTGACCTTGATCTTGGAGTTTGACCTTTTTTTTGTTGATAAACAATAAACTTAGTCAAAAATTTTGAATTTTTGAAGCTTAAGGGCTTTTGTGTTTTGCATGTGTTTTCCTTGTGCCAAAACCTTCCCTTGGGTACAAACAATTTTGACCTCAAACTAATAGATTGACCTACTTTAAAAAGCTTTAACCTCCTTGGCCATAGGTTTTGAATGGCTGAAGCTAGGGCTTTCATATTTCACATGTTATATTCCTTGTGACAAGACGTTCTATCAATGGGTAAAAACAATTGACCTTGACCTTGGAGTTTGACTTTTTTTTTTTAAAACCTTTAACCTTGTCCATAACTTTTGAATGGTTGGTGCTAAGGCTTTCATTTTCACAGGTGTTTTCCTTGTGACAAGAACTTTCTTTGCATGGGTACCAATAATTTTGAACTTTTTACAACAGCAGGGCCATGATTGTATTGATATTGAAGCAATTCAATATTTTTATGAAATTTGTTTTTGAAAAAAATATGCTGATAAAGAACAGCAGGGTCAAAATGACTCAGGTGGTCCATGGGCCTAGATCTTGTTAATTTATTATTTTTCATCATTGTAGCGACGAGTTTCGGTAAGTAATCACTTATAATACAGTTGAATTTCATTATCTAGAATATCAATATCTAGAACCCTGGGATACTTGAAGTTTTATTCTGGTCCCATGGAGTTTGAGATAACAAAGTTCAAGTCTGTAGTTGTTTTATTTTCTAAGTTTGTTTAACACCTGTTTCCTTGTAAATACTTAAACTTCTATAAATCTGTGTTTTATATATACCAATTAATATTCAATAGACAATAAGTAATTTGATTTCCTCTATGGATAACAAAATCTCTTTTGGAAATAATTATGTGTTGTTATTTTCTGTTATAACTCCGCATAATTAATGTATTTTGTTTAATTTAGATAAGAAAACAGAGTGTTGTTGAGGATGATCCCTTCTTACAGAGATTTATCACCACAGAAAGGGCTGAAATTGATGACCATCTTCATGACTTTACAGAAATATTTACCACTGGGTAAGCAGGTTATTCAGTGACAGTGAGAATAAATCAGAATCCCAAAGTAATTTGGCTTCAAATATGGTAAATTTATGTCCCCTTGGCTAGGGTGGAGCTACAATATGGGGTCAAAATTTTTCAAGGAACACCTTTGATAAGTTATGAGGAACAGCAGGGACAAAGGTGACATTATGGTCCCTGGACCATTTGGTTTTATTTACAAAATTTTTTTTAATCTATAAAAATCTTATATATTTAAGTTCAATTGATGGACTGATTCAAAATGAAGACCAATTTAGCCCGTAGAATGCAAAGGGGGGGGGGGGGGGTATAGTATTTTGCTATTATTTTGCTGTTATATAGTAAATTTCAGATCGATTCAGTTTTTTTTTTTTTTTTTTTTTTTTTTTTTGCATGCTTGTCAGATTTTTTGGGAGGTTGGCCCCCATTTTGAAACCATTGCTACAGGCCTGCATTTGGACAATAAAATAACTCATACATGTATAACACCTCGATAATTACCAGCACATATGCTATACCAGGCTTCGGGGCCACCAACATATAAAAATCTCAGCTCAAATCTCAACCTCAAATCTTAGATTTCTGCCTCAGCTGAGATTTTCCTAAAACACCGTGCCACCAACATTTCTGAGATTCGTCTCACGTAAGCTGAGATTTGAGAAAAATCTTAGATTTATTTTCGTTGTTGTATGCGACCTTTTTTCGAAAAATGCACTAATATGTTGATTCAATGATTGAATTTACCTTTTATGCATTTGTTTATGCAATATTTTCGTGTATAGATCGTGATAAAAACACATCCCCCACTTCTTTCGTCTTTTATTTGCTGTCTCGGGTCATTCAACAGAAAGGATTCCATTACGACATTTGCGACAATAAATGTTCATCGAACCCACGTAAAATAATCCCTACAGAAGAATAACACAAAAAATAGCCAAATTTTGTAGTCTTGGCTAGTCTGTCGACATAAACACAAAAACATACACCGAGGCGTCACTTCCGCCATTGTGACGTTTTGTGTAGCAGGTAGGCGGATCACTAAATATATTTCACAGACCGATTAAATTAAATCATTTTGATGAAACACATTTTTCTTTCTTTTGTTATATGTTAGATATCATGGTATATCTGTATTAGTTTTAGTTCTCCATAGCAAAAAAAAAAAAAAAAAAAAGTTATAGGGGCTATTTGTATTTAGAATAAACCTAGCTGAGTGATTTTTTTAGCTCATCTGAGCTGAAAGCTCAAGTGAGCTTTTCTGATCACCTGTTGTCCGGCGTCCGTCCGTCTGTCTGTCTGTCTAGCTGTCCGTCCATCTGTAAACTTTTCACATTTTCAACTTCTTCTCAAGAACCATTGAGCCAATTTTAACCAAAGTTGGTACAGAGCATCCTTGGGTGAAGGGGAGTTTAAATTGTTAAAATGAAGGGCCAACCCCCCTTACAAGGGGAGATAATCAAGGAAAGATAAAAATTGGGATGGGTCATTAAAAAATCTTCTTCTCAAGAACCACAGGGCCAGAAAAGCTGAAACTTACGTGGAAGCATCCTTGGGTAGTGTAGATTCTAAATTGTTCAAATCATGGCCCCTGGGGGTAGGGCGGGGCCACAATAGGGAATCAAATTTTACATTGAAATATATAGGCAAAATCTTTGAAAATCATCTTCTCAAGAACAACTGGACCGGAAAAGTTGAAACTTAAGTGGAAGCATCCTTGGGTAGTGTAGATTCTAAATTGTTCGAATCATGGCCCCTGGGGGTAGGGCGGGGCCACAACAGGGAATCAAAGTTTTACATTGAAATATATAGGCAAAATCTTTGAAAATTTTCTTCTCAAGAACCACTGAGCCAGAAAAGCTGAAACTTTTGTGGAAGCATCCTTGGGTAGTGTAGATTCTAAATTGTTCAAATCTTAGCCCCCAGGGGTAGGGCGGGGCCACAATAGGGAATCAAAGTTTAACATTGAAATACATAGGCAAAATCTTTGAAAATCTTCCTCTCAAGAACCACTGAGCCAGAAAAGCTGAAACTTATGTGGAAGCATCCTTGGGTAGTGTAGATTTTAAATTGTTCAAATCTTAGCCCCCAGGGGTAGGGCGGGGCCACAATAGGGAATCAAAGTTTTACATTGAAATACATAGGCAAAATCTTTGAAAATCTTCCTCTCAAGAACCACTGAGCCAGAAAAGCTGAAACTTATGTGGAAGCATCCTTGGGTAGTGTAGATTCTAAATTGTTCAAATCATGGCCCCTGGGGGTAGGGCAGCCACAATAGGGAATCAAAGTTTTACATTGAAATACATAGGCAAAATCTTTGAAAATCTTCTTCTCAAGAACCACTGAGCCAGAAAAGCTGAAACTTATGTGGAAGCATCCTTGGGTAGTGTAGATTCTAAATTGTTCAAATCATGGCCCCCGGGGGTAGGGTTGTGGCCGCAATAAATATTACAAAGGGGAGGTCTTGTGAAGAACAGCAGGGCCAAAGTAGCTCAGGTGAGCGTTGTGGCCCATGGGCCTCTTGTTTTCTCTAGCAGATCCAAAAAAAAAGTTCGATAATCGATATAATTATTTAGCTAAATTTCTCACATGCTGTAATAAATTTTGCAAGTTTTCCATAAATGTGGATAAATGTAATAATATGAACAGCGAACATGAGCGGGTAACATACGTATACTTAGTTTTACAGGATCATTTATCAAGGAAATTTCTCGAGGAACTGTTTAATTGTCAGGGAATTTCAGTTCATCCCCCCCAAAGGAAAAAAACTGGCTAAAATTTGAACTAAGTGCATGAATAGGGAAGAGGCAAACTAACACATCGCATTTTTCTATGATCCCCTGTGACAAAATGTCTCGGAAAGTCTTTATTTCTATTTTTAGATAAATAATAAACAACGAATATAGCACCACTTGACAAATAATCATCGTTACATTGGAAACCCAAGTGAATCTCGCGTCTGCTCATCGATAATGAGAAACTGATTAATTTATAATATCATATCGTAAATAAAAGTTTAACTGCGTAATGATGTAATTTTTTTTTAAAAACAAAGGATCATACTTTTTTTTTTGGTTTCAAAATGTAAGTTGTCAATTTAAAATAAATACTGTTTGTTTAAAAAAATCATTCATGCAAGTACATTTGAATAGATGTAGTTCTTGCTGTGAATTATGTATCTCAGAATGGACATAAGATGAATTTATTCTTATAAATACTATAAACGGTCAAGGATTTAAATTTAAGCACAATGCATTGAGAGTATAAATTCGATCCAAATTCTCAATTAAGAATTTTATAGATTTAGTTAAGAACCAAATTAGACGGACTGCTATCATCAGTAATTAATAAATTGTGATTTACAAAATGTACATATTATTTCAAGAACAGAAATATTTGTAAATAGAATGTTAGACAGATTTCTTTTAATATTTGCGTATAATTTACACTTATAAACAGTAAAATATAACTACCGGGAAAAAAAAAAAACAAAGACGGGACCGAGGAGGTTTTATATCATATCTAGTCATATTTCCTTTACTGATATACAAGAACATTGTGAATTACATATAATAAAAATGTCATGCTACAAATAGCGAATTGAAATATGAATTTAATTAATTATATTAATTCCTATATGAATGAAGATATAAATGTTTTGTATAACGTGCCACTGGAATAATTATATTCCTTTTATTCTTTATTTTTTATGCTTTTAGTAAAGTTTAAAGTGCTTGATTCTATACATGGACAATATTATAATAAGAATAGTTTACATGTGTATAATTAAGACACCCCCTCCTCACAGGAGAATCAAGTTTTGGGAGAAATGAACATTATTTCTGTGATTGTGTGTTAATTTTGTGTATTCATTCATTAAAATGTTCACTGTCACAACATTTGCGACCATTTTTTCATAAAACAATTCTGTGAGATTTTGTCTGAGACTGGTATACATCAATCTCAAAATTTTCTGAGAAATCTCAGATTTTTTTCTCAGCTGAGTCGGAAAAAACTTTGGTGGCACGCACGTTGGAGAAAAATCTCAGACTTGAGAAAAAATCTCAGATTTTAGAGAAAACTCAAAAGACTAGTCTGAGTTTGAGAAAATATTTGTTTGGTGGCACAGTTAGGTGAGAAAAACTCAAATTTTCTGAGAAATCTCAGATTTGAGAAAATCTCAGCGTTGGTGGCCCCGAAACCAGGTATACTTTCGTTTTAGTCCTATGCATATAGATAGGGAAAAAAACAACGAAAATAGTGCAGTATGCCTCATAATCATTTCAAACAGAATTTGTTTAATTCAGAATTTTTGGGAAAGTGAAACTTTAATCCTCACAAATAGAATGTTATTTTATTTTTATTTATCCCCCCCCCCCCCCAAAGAAAAAAAAAAGAAGTTTCCAAAAAGAAGCTCAGTGAATTAAATTTCGAAAGGATTTTATTTAAAACTGATAGTGATATTTTGCATCGGCATAATTAATTTATAAAGTAATTTTGCCTTTTCAATGCATGCTGCATTGCATTAACACATGAAATACTAGAACCGTAGAACGCAAAACATAGGTTATCAGAAATTTTGAAGGACAAAAGATCAAATCATGGTTAGTCAAAGACTGTGATACATGTTAACAATTTCTTAGACATTATATTAGTTACAATATAATCAAGTGGTCACTCCTTTAATTTCTGTAGTGAAAAGTATGACAGCTAGTGTTTCTAAAACCACAATAATTTAGTATATTTAATAATTTCAGAAATCAATTTCTGTGAATGGAACCATTGAGAAGCTTTGTTTTGCCATGGTCATATCAAGTATATATATGTATATATACCATTAATGTTTTGTCAGGTTTTGGTTAAAACTGGTCATCAACCCTGCCAATCCTCCCTACTTCTGGTGGTCCTCTATAGTCACTTGCTGTATTTTGTACAACCTCATCTTCGTAATAATGCGAGGATGTTTCTGGGACAAACTGCAAGTTCCAGAAATGGTATTTTATTGGTTCATCCCAGACTACCTGTGTGACCTCATATTCATCTTTGACATGTACATTAAAAGTAGAGTGGGTACGCAAACATTTCTCTCTCATAAATAAAATACCTGCATTTTAAAGTTAAATAAAGTACTGTTTAAAGTTAAATAAATATTTTGAATTTCAATCATTATTTAAAATTATAAAATAACATGTTTATCTACCGTTTCTTGTAGAGTATCTTTCATTATTATCCTTGTGATAATACATGTAATTTATATGTATATATAAAAAATATTTCAGGTTTTTTGGAGCAAGGTCTATTATGCCGTGATGTGCGGAAGCTTTCAAAGGTTTACCTGAAGTCATGGATGTTTGTTGTGGATGTTTTAAGTATTTTTCCATTAGATTTCTTTTACCTAGTCATTGGTTTTAATGCCTTTCTAAGAATGAATAGATGTTTAAAAATATGGAGAATGAGGGAATTTTTCAACCTGGCAGAGACACACACTAAATATCCAAACTTGTTACGTGTAGCTAACCTCATACTTATCATTGTCATCATTATACACTGGAACTGTTGCCTGTATTTCGCCATCAGTCGGGCTATGGGGTTTGGCAGTGATAGCTGGGTGTACCCTGATATCAATGATGAATTTTACTCCTCCTTTTGGAAGCAGTATTTGTTCTGTTTTTACTGGTCCACCCTGACCCTCACCACCATTGGGGACACTGCCTATCCTGAGCAAACAATATCCTTCCTTTACTGTATTACCTGCAGTTTGGTTGGTGTGCTGATATTTGCCACCATCTTTGGTAATGTTGGAGCATTGATCAATGAGATGGATGCTGCTAGAAATGAATTTCAACACAAAGTGGATGCAGTAAAGCGTTACATGGAAATCCGACAAGTGACTGGTCCCATACAAGAGAGAGTTGTGAAATGGTTCGACTATACATGGAACAACAAGGAATCTGTAGACGACTCCAAAAACTTAGAATACTTGCCTGAAAAACTACGTGCAGAAATCTGTATCCATGTCCATCTTAGAACTCTGCGAAAAGTAGAAATTTTCAAAGACTGTGAACCAGGAGTTTTGGTGGAACTAGTGTTGAAACTGAAAATGCAAGTGTTTAGTCCTGGTGATTACATCTGCAGAAAGGGTGATATAGGAAAAGAGATGTACATTATAAAGAGAGGCAAGCTTCAGGTGTGTTCAGAGGATGGCAAAACTGTATTTGTAACCCTAGAAGATGGAGCAGTGTTTGGTGAGATCAGTGTCCTTAACATTCCTGGAAATAAAACTGGAAACAGGAGGACAGCCAGTGTGAGAAGTGTGGGCTACTCAGATCTGTTTTGCTTGAGTAAGTCCGATCTTCTGGAGGCCCTGCAGGAGTACCCTGATGCCAGAAAGAGCCTAAGTGAGAAAGGAAAGAAGATGTTGAGGAAGGATAAACTGCTGGATGAAGAGGCAGCAAGACGTGAGGAGAGGCGTCAACAGAACTTGGACAAGAAGATCGAGCTGATTGCTGATGCCGTAGATGATCTACAGAAAGTTGTTAACAAACTGATAGACAAAATATCTCCAGATGAGGCAGCTGACAACTCGGAGGCCCCTGATGAGGAACAACAACAGGAGAACAAAACTCCAGAGACTCCTAAACGGGGGAAGACTCCTGAACAGGGAAAACCTGCTGAAAAGGTAGAAAGAAAAACATCTGCCAAAGAGGGTAGAGTGTCACCAAAGAAACAACCTTCCAAAGATGGTAACAATGAAAAGAACAAAGAAATGGAAGAAAAACAGTGATGTCAGAGAACATAAGCATAATTAACTGCTCTCTTGTCATCAGAAATCCTTACCATATGGGATATAGTGAAAGCCTCATAATTGTGGTACAAAATTTCACATGGCAATGGTGTACATGTAGTTGAAGCTGAATTGAAATAATTTATACCCATGTTAGGAGGTTTCTTGCCTACATTTGAAGCTGAATTGAAACAATTTTTAGCTAATTTGTTAGAGGATTCATTGTCCAGACACATTTGCAATTCATTGAAAATATTGCAGTACCGTGATCATGATTTTTAATTAGTACATGTAGTTTACTGATTTTGTATTTTGTGATGCAAGTCTGTTGAGTAGCTAGCATGTGAACGTGCATGTCCAAAATCTTCAATCACAATGTTGCCATTTTGTTAGAGTATTCACTATTGGAATTACATACTTCAAATTTCTGTATTGATTATACATGTATTTATATTTTTTACATGTGAACATTTATTATGATTATATCCTGGCTATAATACATAAGTTAATATTTCAAATAAACAGTTAATCTTGATTAATAAATTGGAAATGATTCCACAAAAAATAGAATTCCTTTTGGAAACCCAAGCTTACTGAGTGCATTTCAAAGTAATTTTGCATATAGATGTACATGTAGATTCTTGAAAGTACACATTCAAAATCACTCAATAACAAAGAAACATTATTACTTGTAAAAGCAAGTCTAATAAAACTTTGACATTAATATCAAAATTTCATAATTTCTCTTCTCTGAGTTTGTATGATGCATATACCTCATAGTGAAGCTGCAGACACAAAATAAAATTACAAGTCTAGTGAAACTGTCAATTATATTCCGTTTATTTTCTGCTGTGTCTTAGTACAGGTGCATACCTCTTACAAGCTGCACACAGCAGACCAAGGCTAAAAGTTAACAATTTGACACTTCTCATTGAAATGTTTAAAAGTTGTACATGTATATCCCTCACGAATGGTAGCCCACATAGGACAGTGGAGAGATTAACCATTTACTTCTCATTGAAATGTTTAGAAGTGGTATATCCCTCACAAATGATTGCCCACATAGCACAGTGGTTAGAGAGGTTAACGATGACACTTCTCATTGAAATCTTTAGAAGTTGTATATATCCCTCACAAATGGCTGCCCACATAACACAGTGGAAAGAGAGAAGGTCCTGCTTCATTGTAGAGTCCAGGGGCCTAGCTGTTATACAAAAGAACTTACAACTAATACCAAACAATTTGAGTTCATTGTAAAAACTTGTAAAATAAATGATTCTGTTAAAAATTGTGTGTTAGCAATAAATATATCTCTGAATTGTTTTTAAAGAGAATAAAACGTACCATTTTCAGATTAATGTAAAAAAGAAAAGTTATTTCTAAAGTTACATTTTGGTCTTAGTCATAATTTCTTTTGTAAAACAGGGCTCCAGGAGTAGCTGGTTCAGATCCCACTGAGGGATCTAAAGACCGGTCCTTCAGATGAGAATGTATAAATGGATGTCAACTGTTGCAGTGAATGATAGCATGAAAATATTCCTTACTGCTGATCTGGTGTTGTACCAACATGAGTGAAATATTACTGAAGGGATGTTGAGCATTAACAAACAATCAACCAACCCTCTCAAAAGAATCTTAACTCTTGATCACTTTAATTGATTATGCTTGATTTGTGGTAACAGACAGACATGGTGATTTCAATATACTTTCTTCCCCAAGTTTCATAACATGCATCACATTTTTCAATTTGTATGCACATATGGTACAGTTCAGTACACAATGAAATGCTAAAAATTATTCAGTGAATAAAATATATTACTAGAGGCCCATGGGCCACATCACTGACCTGAGCATTTGGCTAGGAGTTCAGTATTTTATCAGTGGTATCAATTAACATACCTCTAAGGGGTGGGGGTGATTTGAACAAACTTGAATCTACACTAATTGAGGACGCTTCCATATTTCTTTGACAAATCATGGCTTAAAAAGACTTTTAAAGATTTTTTCCCATAAGTTTTATCTTTTATTATGGCAACGCCCTACTCCAGGGGACATAATCTTTGCTGTTCTTGAGAAGATTTTTAAAGATTTTTCCAATGTATATCTATGTAAAACCTTGATCGTCCATTGTGGCCCAACCCTACCCCTGGGGGCAATGATTTGAACAAACTTGAATCTACACTACCCAAGGATGCTTCCATATAAATATGACCAATCATGGCTTTGCTGTTCTTGAGAAGATTTTTCCTATGTATTCCTATGTAAAACTTTGATCGTCCATTGTAACCCCACCCTTCCCCTGGGGGGTCATGATTTGAACAAACTTGAATCTACACTACCCGAGGATGTCTCCACATAAGTTTCATCTTTCCTGGCTTTGCTATTATTGAAAAAAAAAGATTTTTACTATGTAAAACTGATTGTGTATTGTGGCCCTGCCCAAACCCCAGGATCGAGTCTTGATTTGAACAAACTTGAATCTACACTAACTGAGGATGTTTCCACATTATAGTTTCATCTTTCCTGGCCCCGTGGTTCTGGAGAAGATTTTTAAAGAGATTTCGTATGTATTTCTATGTAAAACTTTGATCATCCATTGTGGCCCCGCCCTACCCCCAGGGGTCATCATTTGAACAAACTTGAATCTACACTACCTGAGGAGGTTTCCACTTAAGGTTCATCTTTCCTTGCCCACTGGTTCTTGAGAACATGCCATCAAATTTTCACTATTTCTTAATTATCTCCCCTTGAAAGAGGGTGTGACCCTTCATTTGAACAAACTTGAATTCCCTTCACCAAAGAATGCTTTGTGGCAAGTTTGGTCAAAATTGGCCCTGGCCAGTGGTTCTGGAGAAGAAGATGAAATTGTGAAAAGTTAAGAACGACAGACAATGGACAAATTTTAATCAGAAAAGCTCACTTGAGCCTTTGGCTCAGGTGAGCTATTAAAAAAATTTTCAACCCTAATAATAAAACTCCATCCTGACCTGAGGGCAGTGACTTGAACAAATGACTCAATATGGCCCAGCATTGGCCCTTTTCTAGAACATTATTTGACTACATTGGAATGCATACATATTTCACAAAATACAGTGTTTCTGTTTGGGAAAAAAGAAAGCCTTTTCCTGCGTATGCCTACTTCATATATAAAAACTGAACCCAAAAAGTGTCTTCTTATGGCACAAGGGGGCATTATTTAAATTGCATTGACAATACACCAGATAAGGAATACTTCCACATAAGTTTCAGCTTTTCTGGCCCAAAGGTTCTTGAGAAGAAGATTTTTAAAGATTTTTCGTATATATTTCAATGTAAAACTTGGATTCCCTATTGTGGCCCCGCCCTACCCCAAAGGGTCATATTTTTAACAATTAAGAATCTACACTACCCAAAGATGCTTCCACATAAGTTTCAGCTTTTCTGGCCCAGTGGTTCTCGAGAAAAATATTTTTAAAGATTTTTTCAATATATTTCAATGTAAAACTTGGATTCCCTATTGTGGCCCCACCCTATCCCCTGGGGTCATGTTTTTAACAATTTAGAATCTTAACTACCCCAGGATACTTCCACATAAGTTTCAGCTTTTCTTGCCCAGTGGTTCTTGAGAAAAAGATTTTTAAAGATTTTTTTCGTATATATTTCAATGTAAAAAATGGATTCCCTTTTGTGGCCCCACCCTACCCCCAGGCATCATATTTAACAATTTAGAATGTACACTACCCCAGGATACTTCCACATAAATTTCATCATTTCTGGCCCAGTGGTTTTTGAGAAGATTTTTTTAAGATTTTTTTTCAATATATTTCAATGTAAAACTTGGATTACCTATGTGACCCCGGGGGTCATGATTTTAACAATTAAGAATCTACAATACCCAAAGATGCTTCCACATAAGTTTCAGCTTTTCTGGCCCAGTGGTTCTCGAGAAAAAAAATTTTAAAGATTTTTTCAATATATTTCAATGTAAAACTTGGATTCCCTATTGTGCCCCCACCCTATCCCCTGGGGTCATGATTTTAACAATTTAGAATTAACACTACCCCAGGATGCTTCCACATAAGTTTCAGTTTTTCTTGCCCAGTGGTTCTTGAGAAGATGATTTTTTAATGACCCCACCCTATTTTTGCCTTTTCTTGATTAGCTCCCCTTGTAAGGGGGCTTAATGGTCCTTCATTTTTACAATTTATCTTCCCCTTCACCCAAGGATGTTTTGTGCCAATTTTGGTTAAAATTGGCCCCGTGGTTCTTGAGAAGAAGTTGAAAATGTGAAAAGTTTACAGATGGACAGACAGACGGTTGGACGACAGACAATGGGTGATCAGAAAAGCTCACTTGAGCTTTCAGCCCAAGTGAGCTAAAAATCAGTTCAGTATTGAAAAGTTAAAATATAAAAGTGGTCTGGTCATGACATAGATTAAGTTTTTGACCCTTGGGAGGATGAGTGTGGGGCCACGATAGAGAACCAAAGAAAAAATCTTAGAATACCATGGTCATGATTATAGTCATTAATATGCAAGTATTCTCAGGTATTTTAAATTCAAGTTTATTCAATTCATGGCTCCTGGGGCTAGGGTGGTGGTGCAAAATTGACACTGGTTCAATAAAACCATGCACTCTCTGGTCTAAAGTGAAAGGTGTGTGAAGTATCACTTTCCAATGTTTCTCCTTTAGAAAGTTGTAGATAAACACAAGTTTTACATTCTTTTAGCCAGTGACCTTGAACTTGCCACATGACCTATGTCAAGTTTATGACATATCCTCAGCTCAGTAGTAATCTTTGTCTGATTTTTCAACTTCAAAAAAATTATCCATTAGACAACTCAGAACTAAATATTAATTTTATACTCTTTGTAACTTTTGACCTTAAGTCAAGGATGTGACACAACTTTAGGACAGAAATAATATCTGAGTGAAGTATGACTTTCCAATATTTCTCAATTAGAAAGTTATGGACAGAACCCAAATTTTTTTTTCTGCCAGTGACCTTGAACTTGCCAAATTGATCTTAGTGCAAACATGACACACATCCTTGAGTCAAATTAAATCTTTGTTTAAATTTCAACTTCCAACAATTTTGCTCAATAAGAAAGTGATATACCAAACATTTATTATCTTCTTTTTTTTACCAGTGGTATTGATTTTGCTCAGATGACCTTGCATCAAGGTTATGTCATACTCTTTGGTCATAAGCAACCCTTGGCCTAGGTATGAGGCTGCCAATATTTCTTCATTATTTACATGATAAGGGCAAGGACAGAAATTGTACATTTCCCTAAAAATGACCTTGGGTCAAATTTTACCCTTCTGTCTGTGACTTTGAACTTGCCAAAATGGTGTTAGGTTGAGACCATGATGCACCCTTATGTCACATTCAATCTTTGTCAAGTACCTGTATCTTTTCAAATTCTCCATTAGAGAGTTATATAACAAACACAAACTATGTACTTTTTCTGGCAATGACCATGCAGTCATGAACTATGAATTTCCAATGTATCTCTATTATTAGAAAGTTATAGACCTGATACAAATTTTACATTTCTCTGCCAGTGATCTTGAACATGCTGGTCTGACCTTGGATCAAGGTTATGGCAAACCAACAGGTTAAAGGTGCTTAGACACAGATTTGATGTTAATATATACTCAAATTTTCTGTATAATTTCATGGCTTATATGTTTCTATAGCATTTCATACAAAAATTTGATAAAAATCTTATTTTATCTGAAGTTATTGAAACTTCGAATTTCTGGACGCAATTGATAGACACATCCTTGCACTTTCACAATTTTTAGTACTTTAGAAAAGTAGCAATTTTGTTGTTTATTAATGAAAAATATTAAAGCTATAATGCAGAAATTCCAGAGTAGAAATGTAGAAAGCAAAATCCTCTCACCAGTATTGTCAGTCCGTACTCAGTGGTGTGTGCAGAGTTTAACAATTGAACACACCCGGTGAAACATAAACATTAACAACAACAGAGCTCGTGCCCTGTTTACAAAAACAGTTTATGTTTCACGGGTGTATTCAATTTGTTAAACTCTGTACACAACTACACAACACTGAGCATGGGCTGACAATACTTAAGTGAGTGGGTTTTTGCTTTTGTGCATTTTTACTCTGAATTGTTTGGATTATAGATGTAATATTATTTATTAATACACAGCAAAATTGCTACTTTTCTTAAGTATTAAAGATAAAGTTAAAAATTGTGAAAGTGCAAGGATGTGTTAATCAAAAGCCTCCCGAAATTCCTAGTTTCAATAATTTCCAGATTAAATAAGTTTTTAATTTTATTTTCATGTGAAATGGTATGGCAACATATCAGTTGTGACATTATACAGAAAATTTGAGAAAATATAAAATTCAAATCTGTGTCTAAGAGCCTCTAAAAGCAGTACTTGTGTCACGTATGAGCTAGCTTCCAACATTTCTCCATTACAGTTATGGCCCAGACACAATTTGCAAAGAACTGACAGCCAGACAAGGTGATTCTCATATATCCCAAACTTCACTTGCAGATGGTATATTCCAGTCAAACCTTTTGAAACTTAGGCACCAAATTGGGAGAAGAAATTAGAAAAGCCCAACCCTCAAACGTGTCTCAAATTAATATCATTATTGCTTTATTTAATGTATTTCAGCTCATGTACCAGGCATCATCACAGTTTTTTTTATAATAATATGTATAGACTTAAAAAAAAGCTATAAATTGTGGATATTGTTCATTTTTTTGATTTTAACAATGCCATTGATAACATGAGTATACTTGATCACAGACTTTAAGGCTCACAGTCTATTGGTGAAATATAAAGATATCACAGAAAACATATCAAACAACTCTCTGTTTATCAGTTGTGGGGTATATCACAATGGTATTTATACTGGGTTGCATTGGATGAAGTGCACTACAAACTGATAAACACTCTCTCTTAAATGAGCAGATGATCTAAAAAAAAAACTTAAATAGTGCAAGATACACAAAGGAACCAATCATCATTTTTAGAGTTCACTCCATATATCTGCATATGACATCCCCCAAATACACACAAATAATTCCATCATGTCCATCCCTCATGTAAACATGCCAGCCTTTCTTACCAAGCTGACCAGTTCTGGACGCTAGATCTGAGTCACCTGGCAGATAGACGGGAAACATTGACCGTGGTCCCTGCCCCAAAGACAGAAGAATACCCAGCAGCTGACCCCCATGGTCGAAGTGGTAGAGGTTTTCTCTGTAAGGTCTCTGTTTGTCGTTAAAGATGGAGGCTGACACCAGGTAACCAGCTAGAAAAGAGGAAAAACGGGTCATTCTAATTTGTGATTTTTTTACAGAAAAATATAAGAAGCATTATTTGAAAAGTTATATTTTTAATTTGCTGCATAAAGCTTTGACTTTTTTTACATGCACTTATAAATGAATTACAGTCTAACTTTGGTATGTTGAACATCGATATTTCAAATACCAAGAATACGTCAAATTGAGTTAAGAAGTCCTTTACCCAATTTTTGAGAATTCTGAGGTATATTTTTTATCTGTTGAATAATCAAAAGTACATGTGTTAATACAAATCTATCTGCACACCTGATTCACTAAGAAAGCAAATGTCCTTGGGTTGGCCAGACAAGGTCACAGCTGAGGTCACTATAACAGGTGATATGTCTTCTATATCCACACCATAGGTTGTGCTTTAAACACAAGGGAAAGACATTATCTAATTATATTCAAAATAAATCTGACAATTTAAAAATAAAACAGCAATAAATAAAATTCATTATACTTTCTAATTATTATAAAACAATTTCACATAATATGTAGTTAATACATATAATCAGCAATTCTAATAAAAACAGTAACAGAGTTATCTACACTGTTACTGATTGACTGACAATTTGGAGATATAAACTGAAAATCATACAATCATATAAAATTCTTGCATTTTATGAAATTTAGAGGAAAGAATTGCTATCAAGGACAAGCACTAGAGGCAAATTCATCTCCATTTGTGAAAAAAGAATGCTTCTCAATCTTCATTTAATTGTCATCAATGCTCAATTTTCTATTATTTAAGAATTTTTTTTACCCAAGACTTGCAATGGAAATACCTCTTGTAGCCTAAAACAGAGATTTTGAGGTTTTTTTTTTTTTTTTTTGTAATTGTCAATTAAAAATAGAATCATTCAGTAAATATTCTTAATCATAAGGCTGCCTAGCTACCCTTTGTAATGCAAATTTTACAGGGACAAAGTGCTGGTTTCCTTAGACTAGGTACTTATAAGGATAATAGACTTCCATTCATTCCCTTGAATATAATTTCTTCTTTGGCAGCTTGAATTGTGTTTTGTAAGGATTGTAAAAGAGGCATATTTGGACTATGTTTTTTGTAAATAGGCATACTATGACTGTGTTTTGTACTGTGATTGTAAACAGGCATACTTTGACTGTGTTTTGTATTGATTGCAAAGAGGCATTGTAGCAACTGCTAATGATAACTGCAACACTGAATGCCATAAATTATTGCATTTATATAATAGTTGACACTCTCAAGCGCTAATGTTAAATCCCCACTTAATGATTAATTATATCATTAAGTGGTTGAGAATGTCAACTATTAATGCAATAATTTATGACATTAAGCATTGCACTGCAGCAACGTTTTAAGCGGCGTTTTATCATTGGCGGTTGCTACAAGGCATACTTTGACTGCGTTTTGTACTGATTGTTAAGACTAAAGAGGCATACTTTGACTGTGTTTTGATGATGATAAGTTTGTTATCCATAGCAATGGCTGCCCTGACAAATTCCTGATTGCTGGCATCCTGGAATGACTTTTCTCCAAGAACTTTGAGACAACTGCAGACTTCATAGATGTATTGATTCTCCAACATCAGCGCAAAGGCTCTGTAAACCAGAAACAATTAAGAGCTCCAGATTGCAAAACTATAGTTAATAAAGATAAGGTTAACAAAAGGAGACAAAGTCCTATGGCTGAAAGGGAGCTTATAATTAGTCAGCAGTCTTTACTATTTCACAAGCAATCTCAAGCACTTTCTACCATTCTAGTAAATATTCAGTTTCTAGTAAATGCTATTGCACCAAAATGGTCATATGAATAATCTTCACTTTTGACCTGTGGCAATTTGACTTGAAAATCTGCCTCTTAGTGATAGTGTATGGATTTTTTTTTAAAAATTCATTTGGATTAAAACTGCAGCCTTGAAAAAATACAAAATATATAGAAGTAAATGCTTACTGTGGGTGAACAATTGTTTTAATTGGAAGCAAAGACACACATTCCACAAAAAGCAAATATCCAGTGACTGTGACCATAACTAACATATCCCCCAGGAAAGCCAGGCGATGGATCAGATCCAGATGTTCAGCAAAAGTCTCGACCCGATTACTGGTCCTATACAGGCTGTAAAAAATGTAGACCCGATTACTGGTCCTGTAGGCTGAAAGGACAGGAGATCTGACTAGTAGGGTTCAAGGATTAAAAATGCAATTCCCTGTGCCCTTCACAAAGTTTGGCTATACAGCCCCCCCCCCCCCCCCCCAATACATTCCATTATTATCCGTTTCATTCTCTTGCAGCATATTCAACTTTGAAACAGATTGTATTTTTATTCTATAGACCATCAAAGCATTCCACTAATTATAAACAGACACTGAAGATAATACTGCATGAAGATTGTATATACATGTATTTTTAGCAGAGTCTAAAATATAATAAAATAAGCCCACATACACTGTCCTATAATTTACTATGCAAGCATATAGGGCTGCAGCAGTATCTTTTAGTAATTTGTTCAAACAAATTATCAATTTGTTAAAGCAAAGTATCAATTTGTTAAACAAATTACTAATTTACATCCTTGGTCATTTTTCTATGACCAAGGATGCTTTGTGGCAAGATTGGTTGAAATTGGCCAAGTTGTTCTTGAGAAGAATTCGAAAATGTGAAAAGTTTACAGAAAGACGAAAGCCGGACACTCTTTGATCAGAAAAGTTCATTTGAGCCTCAGCTCAGGTGAGCTAATAATGCCAAAATGAGAGAGTTGGTGAAAATTTTGGTATTAGAGTGCTACATAGCTCCCCATCCCTTCCCACCCCTTCCAAACCCCCTCTTTCCTTGATAATCATTTTATTCACATACAACTGTAAAGCATACACTAAATGGTGTCTGAAGAATTACAGTAAAACTTGTCTAATCCGGCGATCAGTGGTTCCAAAATTTTTGGCCGGATTAGACAACATCTGGATTGGAGAAAATTGAACCATTATAGCAACTTAAAAATTACATAGATATAAACAAAGAGTGGTAAACAAATACTGTAAACCAACTTTTATTCGCGACAACTTTATTTCGCGATTTACCGGGGGTAAACTAGTTTGCGATGATTAATTTTCGCGATCAATCCTTTTTTGGATCTGTTGTTAATAGAAAGAGAGACTTTAAGGACCGGTTCGCGGCGAGAAATATTCGTGATGACGAGGCTCTCGCGAACCTCGCGAAAATTTCTCACATGCGAATAAAAGTTGGTTTACAGTACTTGATCAAATGTGTCATTTTTTACGTTTCACTTGAAAAAATCGTCTATTTCGTTTGTTTTGAACTCTGTTCTTAAGAATTTTCATTTCTGTTTAAGTTTTATATCTCTTGGTCATTCATTATTGAAAATCGTTAAATGTTTTAAACAAACTTCAAAACCTCATCGTAGCTGTAAATATTATTTTGTTATGGACGAATTCCTTATTAATTTCTTTCTTTTAAAATTAATATGTTTTAATATTTAGACACAGTATTTGTTAATTTCAAATGTTATAATGAATATTGGACCAAAATCTTCTGTCGTTATGGTGGTTGTAAACTAGCGACACAAAGGTAAGTAATTCAAATTGCAAGTCGTGCACGCAAAACGAAAGTAGAAAGGAGGTCATGAATAAGTCTCCAAATTTTTCTTCAGACATGCTACATGTAACCATCACTATTACTCTTTCTTTTGCGAGTTTCTTCGCCTTACTTGAGCCACTGATGATTTTTTTATCAAGTTTGTTAAAATCTAAACTGTTGATACAGGATAGATCATTAACGGGAGAATAATTACCCCACGTGAGACTTCTCTAATGACCAGTGGGCACAGGTAAAAATAAGTGGCCGGATTAGAGGAGATAATTTGTACTAATTATGAGCAGTTGGTTCTTTAAATAGCGGCCGGTCTACAGAATAGGCAAGATCCGGATTGAACAACATTTCTTAAACATAAATTATAAAGAAAATTCAAGGGACTTAAATATTACGCCGGACTGAACAACATGCCAGAATGCACAACATCCAGATTCAACAAGTTTAACTGTATTTACCATTGTGAAGCGCTGATGGCGAATACTGAATTTTTGATGATAATAGGTACGATTTCCTCATGTGACTGTAGTATAGACAAATCAACAGTGTCTGTCTTATGTAGCCGTCTGTTAAATACCACTAACTGCAAGCGGCTAAAAGAAATTTTATATTATGCCAAACAACCATATATACATTGTATTGTGATTAATAAACATTGATTAAAATTGTTAAATGAAAACTTCATGTATTACTATTTCAACAGCAATTTCTTTTATTTTACAATACCTATTCATAACTAAAATACCTTAAGTTGTAATTTTTAGGAATTTTTTATTGAACTTAAAATAGAATTTTTAGAATATTTAAACTCTAAATATATTTGATATTTTTATTATTTTATTTCATAAAAGGTCAATTTTGTTTTTAACAAAACATATATAATTCAAGGCTCATTGAAATATAACTTTTTTCTTGTAGAAATGAATGCCTTTAGCTTATTTTTCCTGCACTTTTGTACAGCTAGCACTTACTCTTTGTTATAAAGTATGAAACAGACTCCCTCTGCGGATTTTGAGATCCCACTTGTGCACTGTACAGCATCAGGGCCTATATGTTTCTCCGATATTGATGGATTTTTGAATTCCCTCCGACTTTGTGTGTGTATAACCTGAAAATTAGCAAAAATAAGAATTACTTTTTCCTTATAAAACTTAATTGAGAGTCCAAATGAAGAAGATTGCCTTTAAACTATCGTATTGTTAACGGGTCTTCAATCTTTATAGTGAAAGAACCTTTTTTATTCTACAGCTGTACATGTAGACTTAGTGTTTTATATGAAATCTCTAACAAGACATTTTAACATTCTATTTCTTCCTTTTTGCTTCAAATTTTGTAAAATGTAATTCCAGTATAAAATCAAAAAGCATAAAATTCCAGATTTATGGCAGATTAAAATGAAATTTTGTCAGTGTCTGCAGTCAAAGAAATGACGAAATCTGAAGTCAGGAAACTATTAAGGATGCTAGATTGTGATTTCTGATTTCTAGAAATGTGCCATAAGAATTTTTTTATGTTTTTGCTTTCCTTTTTTGACTGGTACACATACTTTCAGTAGACAGATGTGGTTCTTGAGATCTTTAAAAGATTCCACCCTATTTTCATTTTTCTTAATTACCTAAAGTTTATAGGTAAAGGACAAAAACAAATAAGAAAAGATCATATGGGTGACTGAGGAGACCTAGAATCCTCTATGTACATACTTAATTCCTATCATAAAGAGTCCTTACCACAAACAGTTCATGGTTATCTTCATAGCTAACTTTACATCTGAAAAATATGTCCTCGCCAAACACAAGAGGGGGTTTTACCAGTTCCAGAGAGGCATAATATTTGAATTCTTCCTGGAAAATTTTCTCAGCATTGAGTTCTGTCCCTTTGTCCCACTTGTTAAACCGTCCTCTCAGTTTTTGAGTTTTGTTGTGGGCGGCCTTAGCACTGGTAAATAATGGACTGGTAATGTCCTAAATTTACAGAAAGTATGCCAGCTAAAATAATTCTAGTAAGTTAAATTTGAAAGAAATAAATTGCTTAATCAGTGCACTTAAAATAAACTTGACTAGGATGAAATAAAAAAGATATTTTTCTTTCAACAGAAATACAAAATTCAAATTCCTGCTACACATCTAGCAGAAATATATACATCACCTATACTTTTTTTGGCCCAATTGAATGGAACACTTTTACGTTTATAATTACCGACTGTGGAATCCTGCAGCCCTGGACATAACATAACCTCAGTACTTCCAACATACACCTTTTTACTGGTTCCTCTGTATTTAAACCTTTCACTGTGTCCCGTGCCCTCTGAATAAACACACAATATTCACTTAATTCATATTAAACATATTGAAAAGTTATCTAGAAGATGCACTTCCTTTCTTTTGCAAAATAAAAGTTTCACAAACCTAAGGAACTAAACGTCAAATTTTACAACTGCTAAAGAAACCTGGAATATGGTACCTCCAGGACAAGGCAAGCAGATTTATTCTGTTAATCTTACCTAGTAACAGACATATAGACAGACTGGCCAGACTGTATATATCCTTATCTGATAAAATTTACTCTGAGCACAGAGGCCAGATTTATCCTGAATAGACATAGCTCCTAAGCAGGCACTAGGCCATACTGATTTTGAATATCTATATATCGTTACCTGATAGACAAAGTCCCTGAGTATACAGGCCAGGTTGACCCTTGCTCTCTCTCCATTAGGCCCTTGCCAGTAGAGTTTGAATACAGGCTTGGCTGGCCTCTGATCAAAGTTTCCTGGCATTATCATCTGTACAACACAGCCATTCTGACCTCGATATATCTCCATTGGTATTAAGACTGGTGGTGAAACTGTTAAATATATAGAATACTATAGAAAACATAGCTACTATATGCTTGTGCCCCCTCAATAATAAGGTCTGATGACTTTTTTTTTTGCTTGTCAAGTAGTTGATAGTGCCCTCCCAACTGAAAATTTATGGTTGTGCCTCCCCCCCCCCCCCCCCTAAACTGAAAATGCTTCCTATGGGCCTGAATATAATGGATATCTTTATTTAGATTAAAAGATTAATATTATATATTGAACAAGAAAAATGTGGTTACATTTATTTGTGGGGAAAAAACTGCATTAGAAAAAGAAGTAAATTAATTCATGGCATAAAATTCAATGTAAACAAGCACCATATTTCCATGTTACTTTTAGATTTTCTTTGAACATGAGTGGTTTTCAAAATTAAAAAAAAAGATTAAAATAGGGCAATCTCTAAAATTGTTTGATTGCCCTCTCCCAACTGACTGGCTAAAAATGGTCCGATAAAACTTTTTTTACCTCCTGGAAGCAATTATTTTTTATGTATTCTGGACAATAGATTTTAAAAATTTAGATTGAAATTGAAATTTTCTGAAAAAAAAATTCTTACCTACCTAACGACCCATTTTTTTTCATCCTGAGTCGGGAGAGGGCAAACAAACATTATTTTAAAGGTGTCCTAATAGTCTTCAGGTATTCTCTTGACTGCTATAGACAATTTTCATTGACTACAATTGTTTTTATGAATTTCCATAATATATAGCATGTACGAGGGTTGTCCCAAAATTCCGTAGACAAGCGTGGTTTCGTAGGAACACCGATGTCATGTGAAACTTTGTACATACATAAAACTAATAATATCTTATAAATTTATGGACATATATTGAGCAATTACACATTTGAACCCTATTTAAATACAATATTTCAGTGTCTGGTACAAGAAGGCAGAGCATTTAAATACCCATATATTGCTATTAAAAATCGATATATGATATTCAAAATTTTACGAAAAGGTATTTAATATTTAAATTTTGAAAATAGAAATAAAAATTATTGATATTGCATTATTAACTACCTTTCCTCCAATTTTGTGGCATATGACTTAATTTATATTATTTTTATTACGTTTCATATACACCGGTTTCAATTCTGACTTGTCGAAAATTGACTGTTGACTGTTGTGTTAACGAGGGCGGCACACCGAACTGTGATCAAATGTTCTAACTTGAATTCACCCCTACAGAAATGCAGAAGTCATAAATGGAAATGTATTCCGGTCCTTGTTATATCAAAATTGTCTAAGTATGTGAAAAAAGTGAAAAAAAAGAGAGACGAGCCGAAGAGAGGGGCAAGAAATCGTTGTCAAAGTGACAATTTTAACTCCATTTGTGAAGACGGAGGAAAAACCCTTGGAAACATACCTGGGCTTTTAAAATCATTATAATTGGATACATATACATGTGGCTGCATAATTTGTTGTATTTTTTAATGTTAAATTATATCATAGCTGTTAAGATATTTTTCATTTATTTCTATAATCTTTATGTTAAATTATAGAATTTGAGTCTTGTAATAAGTGTATCTACCCCAATAAAAAATGGTGACGTTAAGCATGTTAAGTGTATCTTTTCTGACGTCGTAGATTGCTCCGGGTGTAAAGGAACGGTAATACTGAAATTGTAATTACACGAATTGTTTTCAAACAATCATGTTAAAACTTCGTAATTTACCAACCAATAAGTAAACACACTTCATCCACCAAGATAATTTTACAGAGGTACATTCATTTTTGTAAAAGTTATGGGCTCAGTCTACAGAATTTTGGGACAACCCTCGTATAGCATGATTGGAATCCTTAAATTTAGATATAATTTTTATGGCCACAGGTGATGATGCCCAACATGTGGATCCCACCTTACAGATATTATTCTACACCCAATAACTTTATCTTGTCTGGTACTGATTTTCACAATGAGATTTACCCATCTTTCTTCCTTTTGATTTTCACCCTGTATTATCAAAACCATTTCTTTTTCATGTTTATATATGACAGTGTCAATTTCTACTTTAAATTGATGGTAATTTGTTTAAATATGTGACTGACACCTTGTTAAAATTAAACTATAAAGGAAGAGAGCTTAATGGGAATTTATAGGGGGGAGAGGACAAAAATGCCCCCAAAATACAGTAATGATTACCATTATGGTAGTATTATTTCTAATTCCCATTACATTTATTACATGTGTGAGAGAGAGAAGAGAGAGAACTTAGATCAAAGGTTTAATATTTAAAGAATTCTAGCTGATTCAGAAAAAACAAAATATTTCCTTCATCATTTTAATAAGCAGATATGTCAATGGTCAATGTTTGCTCAAATAATGAATTTTATAATTTTCTGAGTGACACTTACAGAGATGTCTTTGATTATTTATATAATTACAATAAACAGAGGGAATGCTCCTCAAAGTCATGGTTGTCTGGGATACAGGGAGATGTATGGCACTAAAATAGAAAAAAAAAAATATTGTAATGAATGAGCAAAAAAAAAAAAAATCCTTGATATCACTTCTAAAAGCTGAATTCAAGCAACTATATAAGAACTTAAAACTATGTTTACCCCACCTCCTATGATTTTTTGATACTTGATTACAATAGGTTGAAGTCTGTCAAGTGAAGGAGGTGTAAGACATATACACAGTCACTTGATATCACTACATGGTTGACACAGAATTATTGTTCTTTTGTAACACTTAGAACAACTCGAGTTCCTTAATTGTTTTGATGTTTACCAAGTTTCTGTTCACAAGTAAAAAGTTAACTACAATGAAGCGCATTGAAGTGGTACAATTTTTTGTTTGAGTGGAAAGTTTGGGTGTTTCTTCTCGCACGTCAATTGGTACAGAATGACACGCCCATTTCTTTAGAAATGAGAAAGAAATATTCGTCGTAATAATGCTTTAGGTAGCCCCACTCTCTGCGACTAGTAACATGAATTACACTGAAATGGAGATTTTATAAAGTAAGAAGAGAGAGTTAGAGACCCCGCTTCTGTAAAAGACGTATTGCAATGAACATGTACATAATTATGAATTTTTCCTGTTTATTGGAGTTACCAAAACACATGTATCGGTTGAACACTTGTTTACTTGGTGTTGTGTAGACTGTCAATTTGATTGGCTATTATATTATTTTATGGAATATCTGTTCTTACAGGTATTCGAATGAACCATTTGAGCGTTGTTTTTCCTTTCTAAAGAAATAGACGTGTTATTAAATGACAATCAACGTTCTAAGGAAAGCTCAAAACGTTCCATTCAAACAGAAAATTTTACCACTTCAATGCGCTTCATTGTAACTTAAGTAATGAGAACCAATTCTGGAACCTTTTTCTCCTTTTACTGAAAGTCTTCAAAACAGCAAGAAACACTGACAAGTATTGTAGTGACTGGGTACGGGATGATATCTGGTTAGTAAATTTCATACTAAGGGTTAAGTAGAACAATAAGATGATACATTTAAGACAGCTTACCCAGTGTAGGGGTTAAGTAGAATGATGACACAAGACAGCTTACCCAGTGTAGGGGTTAAGTAGAACTGACTGAAGAGGTGGGAGGGACATTTGGAGATCTCCTGTCAGGTGACCTTCAGGGGTCAAATGTAGGTTAAGGTCACGACAACTTATATCTGCCTCTGTTGGCTCACTGAATTATCAAAATCATAATGTCCTATTGTACACAAAGTTTGGTACCATCATTCAAACAGAGTAATGACAAAATAGCTATGAAGAGTATAGTATATGCCAATAGCTTTGTACTACTAGTATTTTCCTTATTAAATGGTCCAGTATTTACATGTAAATTACATCTTTAAATTTTACTAGTATTGGTACTTTTCTTTCTCCATTACTTTATTTGTACTTTACCCCTAACCCTACCATTTTCTGTAGTGGTACAGACCTCTTAAAACTGTATGTCCAATCAAAGTTCCAATGGTTGTCTTCAGACTTTAGGGAGAAGAATCTTGGGGGGTTCAGTTGGGTTCTCCATAGGACTTTGAGGGGTTTAACTGAGGGGGATCGCTCCACGGCCTCTGTCAGGGCCTCCCAGGGACACTCCTTGTATTTCTCGCAAGTAAAGATGGTCCTGCAGAAAGAGTAGAATGTGTGACACAATAATCATTATAACACGACTCTCACTGACACAGAAGGAACCTGATATGTTTCCAAAAGAAAACATTTTTTTAAGCACCATTGATGTGGATAAGGCAGGAACATCTTTCAATGTTTTGTACCAAAAGTAAACACTGTTCTACATATGTAAATACATACGTAAAAGAAGAAAAAGAAGTCCCCATAAATTACACATGTTACAAAGTTCTGGATTCACCTTTGACCAAATGAAGGGCCATGATTTGAACAAATATGTATCTACACTACAGATAGATTTTGGATGACATATAGTTTCCTTCTGAGTTATTCCCTTAGAAAAACAATGTTTTTAAAACTACTGACAAGTTAGACAAGTTCGATCGCCAGTGGCCGAATAGCTCAGTTGGTAGAGCACCTTCCTTGGAATTCAGAGGGCCCAGTTTCAAATCACAGTCTGGTTTGTCGTATTTTTCTCCTTTACCATTACATTTGGTGCCGTGCCATGCCCTGGAAATGACAGGGAAGAGCCTGCGTTGATGTCTATTGGGGACCAAATACCTTTAACGAGGGAGGAATGTAGCTGTCAGATGGGTTTAATCCCCAGTGGCCAGAAAGCTCAGTTGGTAGAGCACCTGACTGGAGATTCAGGGGGCCCAGTTCAAATTCCGGTCTGATCCTTTGCATTTTTCTTTTTTCTTGCTAAACTTGCACATTAATTAATATCAGTAACTGTGGTCCTGCTGTACTTCCAACAACAAGAAGTCTATGAGCCAATGCTCACTAGTAATACCCCTGCTCTGATGTGAATATATGCTCTCATGAATACCACTATATGGGATGCCTTAGACAAAGAGTGTGCTAAAATTTCAAGCATATGCAATGAGTAGTTGCTTAGAAAACTGCAACGGTAATTTTGGTACGGACAGATGTAAGGATAAAAACATGAAGTTGACATCAGATTCGTACAAAAATAAATCTCTATATATGGCATGCCTAGACAAAGGGTGTGCTAAAATTTCAAGCATATGCAATGAGTAGTTGCTTAGAAAGCTGCAACGGTAATTTTGGTACGGACAGATGTAAGGATAAACATGAAGTTGACATCAGATTCGTACAAAAATAAATCTCTAATATATACTGTAGATTCCTTATTTTACGCGAGTACTTATTATAGCAAAATGGCCCTAAGATGTCAAATCATGAGAAGTATAATTCGCAAATGGACACTTGAGCAAGAGTTTTTTCATGGATTTCAGCACCATAAATTTAAAATTAAAGCGAGTAATTTTATTTCGCGAGTGGTTCTTCTCGCATAATTACACGATAATTAATTCCACGCGTATATTTATTAGGAATCTACAGTATGGCATGCCTAGACAAAGGGTGTGCTAAAATTTCAAGCATATGTAATGAGTAGTTGCTTAGAAAGCTGCAACGGTAATTTTGGTATGGACAGATGTAAGGATAAACATGAAGTTGACATCAGATTCGAACAAAAATATATTTCAATATATGGCATGCCAAGACAAAGAGTGTGCTAAAATTTCAAGCATATGCAATGAGTAGTTGCTTATATAGAAAGCTGCAACGGTAATTTTGGTATAGACAGACGTAAGGATAAACATGAAGTTGACATCAGATTCACACAAAAATAAATCTCTATATATGGCATGCCCAGACAAAGGGTGTGCTAAAATTTCAAGCATCTGCAATGAGAAGTTGCTGAGAAAACTGCAACAGTAATTTGCTACGGGCAGATGCATGGATAAACAGGAAGTTGACATCAGATTTGTACAAAATTGAATCCAACCATATGGTATGCCTAGGCAGAAAGTGTACTACAATTTCAAGCATATACGATGAGTAGTTGCTGGGAGAACCACGACAAAATTTTTAATTGAAAGACACATAGATTAACAGGAAGTTGACATCAGATTCCTACAAAAATGAATTTCACCATATGGGATGCCTATAGACAAAGAGTGTGCAAAAATTTTAAGCATCTACTATGAGTAGTTGTTGAGAAAATGTCAACAAAAATTTGTTACAGACAGAAACACAGACAGACAGATACACAAGGGTAAAACAGTATACCCCCTCTCCTTCAGAGTGGGGGTATAAAAATTATGTAAAGATTTCTTCCTACCCAGTCCAAAACCCCACCCAACCCACCCCTGTTATGACCTACCATAGTCCTGGATCCCAAGATTTGCACCAATTTTCATCTAAACTTTTTGAGATTTGTGTAACAGTTGTATCAAACCATAGGTCATTGTTGTTAATACATTGAATTGGGCTGCGAGGAAGATACTTGTATCAAATGACAAAAGTAAAAAAATTCAACATTCATTTGCAATATCCTAAACCACATGTAATAGGAAAGGTACACATGCCATGGGCCAGGATTTCAATCCTGGATCCTGAACTCTACATGGATGCAACAGAGCTTTCTGCATGGCCTTTGACACACAAACCTGTCAAACTGCCAGACTCTACCCTCCTTACATTCAAACATATTTGCCCCCAAAACCTAAGCTCATCAAAATCCCTATCAGGATTTTTTCTGTCATTTTCATGGCATGGCACAGCACCAAAAGTAGCAGGAAACAGGAAAGTGCCAGAAATCACACTGGGATTAGAATCTATAACTCTAAAAACTAGAGTGGTATGTGAATCTGTCACGGTAACCTACTTTTTGGTAAACATACTCCCAGACCCCAAAATGCATCAACTGACAAAGTTTGATGATTTTAAGTCTCTTATTATTTGAAAGTTTTAGATATTGCCCTAAAATTCCCAAAGTACGTCACTGTGACACATTTTGAGGACCCAACATACATCAACTCACAAAGTTAAAATGATTAAAAGCAAATTAGTATCTGAAATATTTAAATATAGCCATAAAATCCCAAAAGTAGGTTACTATGACCTATTTTTCAGTTGACACACTCAAGGACCCGAGATGCATAAACTGACAATGTTTATGATTCTATGCCAATTAGTATCTGCATTACTTAAATATAGCCTTAAATTTCCATAAGTAGGTCACAGTGACCTCCTTTTCAGTTGACACACTTTCAGGCCCAAGATGCATCAACTGACTAAGATTGATGATTCTAAGCCAATTAGTATCTGAAATATTTAAATATAGCCATAAAATTCTAAAAGTAAGTCACCGTGACCTACTTTTTGGTTGAAATACCTTGAGGCCTTATGTTGCATCAACTGACAAGGTTTGATGATCATAGGCTTCAAAGTGTCCAAAATATGCCTCTGAAACAATTTCAAAGTATGTCACTGTGACATACTTTTTGATATGTTTAAAGGCCACAAGATGCATCAATTAACTAAGTTTGATGATTCTAAACCTCTCAGTATCCGAAATAATGACTTTAAATGTTTTGAAAATGATTAGCCATAAATTTAAAAAGTAGGTCAAAACGACCTACTTTTAGATTGACACACTTCAAGGCCCCTTAATACATAAACTGACAAGTTTTGATGATCATAGGCTTCAAAATGGAGTCAATGTAATATGAGGTCCGAAGATGCATCATCTGACAAGATTTGATGATCCTAGTCCTTATAGTAAGCAAATTATCAGTTTTAAAATAACATAATTTTTGCTCAGTTTTGAAGTGACCTTGAGACCACGCCCTTTGCCCAAGGGTGATGCCTTGAACAATTTGTAATTTAGAACATATCTTCATCTTTGTATGTAAATTTGATGATAATCTACCCAGTGGTTCTTGAGAAGAAAATTTTTTAGCAACCAGTACTTCTGTTTTTATTTTCCTAATTACCTCCCCTGTTCAAAGGTCACATCCCTAGTTTTAGCATCAACGAGAGCCCTTGGGCCAAGGATACTAGTACTCTGTGACAAATTTGACAAAAATTGGCCAAGGGGTTCTTGAGATATGGTCCATATTCTAAAAAGTTCATGCATACCACACAAATGGCCATAGCATTGCTCTTTGAGCCTTTCGCTCAGAAGAGCTACAAAAAATAGCAATGTATCAAAAGGCACTTACTCTTGCTGTCGGAACAATTGGTACGTAGCTTGTACTCTTTTTCTGTTTTTCTGGATGGCATACAGCATGGATACAAAAACATATAGCTCTGGGTATACACCACAAAGGGGTTTCAGCCTCACTTTGGCATCTTCTAACCAATCAACTCCCATTTCTGACAAGATTTACATCACATGACATTTAATTTTCATAACAAGCTTTTTCTAGACTGAATATACAAGATTTTTAAAAATATTGGTCCATTTGGCCCCTTGAGCAGCAACAAAGATTTACAAAGTTTTACAAAAAAGGAGGAGGATCCAAATGATAGAACAAACATGATCTTATACAACAATAAGAGCAGTACATACAATTGCATATTCTGCAAAAGAATACATAAGACTCTTAAACCAATACAGTTAAATGCCTTGTGTTATTTCTACTTTAAAAGTGTATCAAGTTGTAACTGGGGAGGGAAAAATGCAACAGACCAGGATCCCAATCCATGCCTCCTGAATCACTAGTCAGGCTATCTACCAAGTAAGCTAGCTATCTGGTGCCAAAGATGGCCACTAGCTGGCAGTAGGTGCTAGAAAGAAAAGATCCTTCACTGGTCAAATGCCCTAATTGCCACGTACAGGTCTAAATTTGCTACTCTTCACTGGTACATGTGAGTGTTGGCATCTCAATATGAGTGAAAAATTCTTGAAGGGATGTTAAACAACCATACAACCAAATTCTCCCTCTTTAAAGGTCCTCTCTTCTGAGGACACCAACCCAGGCACTTTTCTGACAGATTTTTCACCTGTCACTTTCCTCTTTTCACCTGTCACTTTTTTCTCTGTAGATGCTTTCAGGGATATAAGACATGGCACCAAATGTAACAGAAAAGGAGTAAAACGTGAAAGACTAAAACCAATATTCAAACCCAGGCCTCCTGAATCACTAATCAGGTGATTTACAACTTTAAAAGTGCAATTTATGCCACTGGCAATTCAACTTGCCTGACTGCCACAAAGTACACTGTATTACCTGAGCCTGCATGACTGCCACAAAGTAGTACCTGACCAACACGTTGTAAAATATAACTTCATGTGTGCTCAAATAATCTACATCTATCCACAGTCTTGACTTGAGTTAGGATTACTAGACAAACCTACCAAAGCGTGAGTTGCTGTGGTAACACAGAAGTGAATCCATGTAGAAGATATATTCCAGGCTGTCTTTTCCCCAGGCAGGTAATGCATGGACACAGTGGATCCACTTATCAGCTGCCATTCGGGCTTTCTCAAAGGTCATTACTCTGTCAAGGTCAAACAATAATAATTCCTTTTCCTCTGTAGTACTTTACATTAGCATTATAAGTGAGGATACAAGTTTTCCCTTCACCTTCACATAATTTTGATGTCGAAATTACTGGGCAAATCTTCCCTCAATAGACTAACAGTTAAAATGTCACATTAACTTTTGTTACTAGGGGCAAAATTTTAGCCTTTTACAATTTTTTGTTAAAAATCTAAAAATACTTATGTGTTGAAATGGAAAAGTTATTATAGATTATGCAGTGTTTGAAACTCACCGTAAAATTAGCCAGACATGCAGGACTGACTGGTACATGTAGTAAAAGTTGTCAGCCCTGCCAAATATCTACTAGCCCTAGAAAGTAAGTGTCTTTTATAAATTTGTTCTAGCCATTATGTGACTGCAGGGAGTAGGTCACCAAAACTTCAATCCCATATTTATTTATCAATTTAAAGAAAAAGAGACCAAAGGGCCTTAAGGTCACCTGAGTATAATACATGGGACCATGAAATTCATATTTTTTTTCTCCATTTGCCAATAGTTGCTATCTATCAAATTGGATAACGGGTTCCAAAGAAAAAGTGAAAATGTTCAAATGTAAAAATAGACGACTGACAACACCCAACATCTGATGAAAACAGATTGCAATAGGTCATCTGAGTGAATCAGGTGACCTAAAATCAAATGAGATATTTTTTTTATACAAAGGCATTATTAGACTGGTAGAGACTAAAATAACATGAACAATAATAATCTCACAAGAATGCTGTGTTACTCTTAAATCTTGTAAACTTTTAATTATTGGCACATAAAAACTCAAATCATTGGAATAGTTCAGTATTCATACTGACAGTGTATACAAGGAAATTTTTGTCCCAGTTTTATTTCTGTCTCTTTGGGTCTATATCCCAAGTGGACAAATTTAAAATAAGGTGAATTAAATATGACACCAAACTGAATCTGGGTGAATAGTGTTTGCAAGAGTGAAAATAACACAGGAAAAAATAACCCTGTAAACAGATATAAAAATATATGGTCAATAAGACTGACCCTTGGTCACAAAGATTAGCCTTTAAGAGTGAGATTTGTTTGGAGACCTGCTGGGCCACTTCATTTTGACAATAGTACGGCTTGGATGCGAAAACCTCCGATATGTCAGCCATACTGTCAAAGGACAACAGAGCTGGGTCATCAAAAAAGTGCAACATTCTGCCTATCTCGTACAAATACAGCGCCTTGTATCTTGCTGAAATGAACAACATTATATATTTACTATCTCGTAGAAAACACAGCACCTTGTGTCTGAAAATAAACCATATTATATGTATATCATGATCATCTAATGCAAATACAGCTCCTTTATATCTCGCTGAAATAAACATTACACTGTTACATTTTCAACAGTGAAATACTGTGATTTATTATGCTTCCTGTCAGTTTGTCTCTATATAATCAATACCCAAGTATTTTGGCATAGTGTTCTAAGGATTTACATAGCGTAAGCATACTATGCCAAAATAGTGCACAGCTTCTTTTTCTGAAGAAAATCTGATAGCACTCACTCTGGGGATTGATCTCGCAACCCCGAGATTGTCAGTTGGACACACTACCGATTCAGCCACAGACACCGTTATCAAACATAGTTACTGTATTTTAATGTATATAAACATAGTTTCAAATACTTGACACTTAAAGAAAAAATAAGCAAAATAATTTTTCAAAAATAGTTTCTTGCAACTTTTTTTCCCTTTACTCAGCTAAAATTCTTTGAAACTATCTGTACATTATACCCAACTGCATGAAACACTCAAAAAAATTATGACGTAATTGTATCGCAATGTGACATCATAATAAGGGTGTACTAACATATGTTAATAGGTGATGAAACATTGGAAATGGAAAAAAATATTGTCGTTTTTATACAACAGTCAGCATAATAATAACAATAGCACTGAGCACTCCTCTCCGCCCCTAACTAGTATTTAGTCATAGTGCATGCAAAGCACAATACTGTCATATAACTTTATACAAACACAACACTTTTTGTCTCGCTGAAATAAACAACACACACACTATATATATATATATATATATATATATATATATATATATATATATATATATATATATGTATATATATATATATATATATATATATATATATATATATATATACATTTCCTATCTCATCAAAATAAAGAGGCTTGTATGTTGCTGAAACAGAAACCACCAGTATATGTATGTACCAGTGCATATATACTAAGATAAACTGTCTAGCATTCAGTGTTTCATCTGGATTATACATATGAAAAAAAAAACCCTGATCTTATACATTTATATTAGCTCTATGAAAAGAATTTTTTGTTAATTTTGAGTTTCCTACATTTTTTGTTTGTATGAATCAGATGATGGAAGCCTTCTCTGGCCCTGACAATGTCTCCTCTTGCCCAGAATATGTACGGCAGGACTTTGTCATAGAATGCTCCCATAACAATAGGGTATCTGAAAGTCAAACAAAATTCTTGATACTCATGTTGTATACATATTTACATCCACTTAATATTATTTCCTTTATTTCTTATAAAAACCATTGCCGTTAATCAGTCCATAACCTACACTAAGCAAGCCACTTGCATAGATTTCTTCAGCAACAGCTGTTCCATCAATTATGCATACAATGACATACACATTTAACATATTTAATTTACTTTGAATGTTTTTTTTTTATATAGATATAAATATAAACAATAAAATGTCTTTCTTTGTTTGTTAGTATGGGAATTAACGTCGCAGCTATTGCAGAAAAAATTCACATAACCCGCTTACGAGGGTTATGTATTTTTTTCTGCAACAGCTGCAACATTAATTCCCGTACTAACAACCAAAGAAAGCATTTTATTGTTTAAATTAATTTTTGGCTTATGTTTCATTGGACCTTTCATTTATTGTGTTATAATAGAGATGGAATCTTTACTACTTAACTCATTGTTCAAAAAACTCAAGACATACATGTATGTTCCATAACCTGTACAAGTTTCTTAAAACTGAGTTTTTTAATTCAAGTTTTAAATCTTTGTTTTTTGAAAAAATCAAAACAAAACAAAAGGCTTGAAGATAATAATGTTATATGTATTCCTCCTGTTGTGAAACTGAAAACATTTATCAAAATTTATCTATTTATAACATGATACGAAACGTAAGTATTACATCAAATCACAAAATTCACTAACACCAGCTACTGGAATTTGGCAGTGCTTGCATTCTTTCTCCAGTATATGTGTTTTACCTTGTTTTGAGTGTCGTAACAACATTATCTACTGCTCTGTCATATGGGGCGGAGCCATCTCTCGCCTTCAGTTTAGGGTTTCCTTTGTGAGGGTCTGGGAGGGGCAACGTCAAATGCAAGAAGCTTCCGAGGACTACAGAAAAGGAATCAACAAAGCAATAAAGAAATAATTTTTATTAAAAAGGTTTACATATGTAAAAAGTCAGCAGGTATAAGCAGATATTCATTCAGAATATGTAATATCCTTAAGTCGCGGGTTTGAATCCCACTGTGGGACGTGGAGACCGGTCCTTTGGATGAGACCATATAAACAAAGGTCCCTTGTCGCAGTAGGTGCTGGCACGAAAAAGATCCCTCACTGCTCAATGGCCGTAAGTGCCAAGTATAGGACAAAATTTGCAGCTCTCCATCGGCAAGTGGTGGCATCTCCATATGAGTGAAAAATTCTCGAGAGGGAAGTTAAACAACATACAAACAAACAGAATATGTAATTATGCCCCCATGTACACGCATAGTCTGGTGCATTTTTTGGTTACTGTTGGGTCATTTTACTGCAGGAACTTCATTTGAACATCATTTCTATGCAAAATTAAAGGTTACGTGTTTATTGCTGATATTCTTAGATAACTTTAGACTAACAACACTGCATTATCAAGTACTGTATGTGTACTTAAAAAAGCGGGCTTCATATTTTAGCAGCTTTGGTGCAGACAACTATGCGCTAATTCATGAATACCGCTAAGAAATCATTTATTAATACAATATATGGCATGGACATGTAGAGCGCTAATTCATGATTTCGCCAACAACTCCATACCCAGTGACTGCACTAAATTTTGAATATGCCAATTTATGTACACGTACAGTAATTGAAGTCTCAAGCTTACCTAACATCAGTTTGTTGGAGAAATAAGACCTAGATGAGTAAAAAGAGTAGAGTTGAGTTACAGGTAAACAGCTGATTTTTCTGTCCCCTAAGAGAGGTCTGACATATCTTCCAGGAATATGACTGTGAGGGTCAATATTCCACACGTTTCGTACGAGAACACTCAGTTCATAAACACCTGTATGCATATCCAATTTAAGCTCTTCTTCATATTTAGATAGAATTGAATTCAACCAGGTTACTTTTTCATTGTGAATCTCAGCTTCTTTGTTAATATCCTTTCTAAAACTGACTGGAATCATACAATGTCTCCTCAGTTTTTTATTTCTACTTAACAATTTCACACAAAGAGAGTACAGAGATGGAATTTCTTTGTGAACATATATTGTTACAGGATCTTCTAGAATATCACTGTCATAAAATGGAAGTTCTTTAAAGACAGAGGAGTTGCATTGAAACTGTCTTCTTTTCCTTTTTTGTTTTTTACTAGGTGCTCTTTTATATATGCCATTCCTATTTTTATCTTCTGTAGTAAAAAAACTAAAATCATTTTCATATACATGAACTTCTTGCAGCACTGTTTCAACGTCTTCATCTTTTTTGGATGAACATGTGTTTGATAGCAATGTAGCATTATTATCTTGGTTAACATCATGCACTGCGACAAGATTTTCCTCTGCAGAGAAATATTCACTCTCATCTGATTGGTCATTTTCACTGAGAGTGCTACACTCATCAGAAGGCTTTCTGAATTCCTGATATATGTCGTTTGTATCACTGTTAGATGAGCTGAAGGAATCAGACAAGTCTGACAAGGATTTACAGGCATTTTGCTGACTTTTCCTTCTTCTTCTAGACTTGCCTACTATTTCAGTTTTCTGACTGAATTCCTGCGATATTACCCTCGTGTAGGATGGACGATGTCTTCTTTGTGTAATCAATATTTTAAGCCCGGTTTTATCTTCTTCCATCTTGATTAGTGGTCTCCTTAGGCTAAACAACAACATAAAGAAATCAATGCAAGAATTAATATTTTCATGACATTATTTAATAAAGCATAGCTATTGACTTACATAGAACATTCTATTGTTAAAATGATAGTGAGAGCTTGCCCCGAGGCACAGCAAGATTATTCTTATTATACCATTGACTGAACTCTCAAAATTACATGCTAACATAGATCTTAATAATTTGAAAATACAAATAATCCAATAAAAAGCAAAAACAGTTGACAGTCAAAATAAACAGCTCATGTATCCTAACATGGTATCCGTACACTGGTACAGGTACAGCAAGCATAAATCCTTTAATTTTAAACGGTTTTAAAAAATAGATTTAACCCCTTTTATGCAGAGATATATCCGAAGAGTCCAAATGATCACTGATTGGCCAAGTTATCATGTACTGACATTTCCTTAACTTTAATATCAGCCACTTATTCTGCAAGACAGCCGATTTCACAACACATAGAAACACTCAAACAGTGTTACTTTTACTTTCATTATAGCAACGCCGATGGTATTTCGTTCACTAACATATTCGGACCCCGCAGAGAAGTTTTTTTCTCAATGTTAATAATATTTACAGCCATATACATACAATATTAACAATTCCTGGTCATAGTGACCTCTGGAACTTAGTGAAATCTCTAAATACTGAATCTTATACAATAATCTTGTAAAGTGGAACGAAAGCTTATCAGAGAAAATAAAATTGGAACAAGGTGACAGGGTGCCAAATTATCTACTCTAGTCACAGGCACTTGTTTCGTATACGGGGCACTCCTACTTATTTTTACCACGTGAAAATAAGTAGGGATGCCCCGTATACGAAACACAGGCCCATAGGAAGCAGTTTCAGTTCAGTTTGGGGGGGGGGGGGGGGAGGGCAGCCATACATTTTTCAGTTGGCACTACCAAAAACTTCCTGACAAGCAAAAAAAAAAAAAAAAAAAAAAAAAAAAAAGAAAGGTCATCAGACGTTTTTATTGAGGGGGCACAAGCATATAGTATCTATGTTTACTATAGTAATTATATATCGGCAAAATTATTGGGGGGGGCACGCCCCACACATTCACATTTTATTATATACAGTAATATGACATTTTTAAAACGTGCTAATTTCAGTGATTTTTTTTATTTTTATGTTATCGAGTGTATTCAGAAACACCTAGAAAAAAAAACATGATACACAAAATACACAATCCTGAAACCAAAGGCCTATGGAAGAAAGAGGATACTAGCAATGGAGTATTAAAATGATTTTAATTACATCGACTATTTGTTTGTGAGGAATTTTGAGTGACAACCTTCTCATTAAATATAAAAACCACCTTCACATAAAAAAAACATCAACATAACATAAAAAAAGCCACCTTCACATAAAAAACCATCTTCACATGAAAAACCACCTTCACATGAAAAACCACCTTCACATGAAAAACCACCTTCACATAAAAAACCACCTTCACAAGAAATAACCACAGCATAACATTAAAAAGCACCACCTTCACATGAAATAACCACAGCATAACATAATAAAGCACCATCTTCACATGAAATAACCACAGCATAGCATAATAAAGCACCATCTTCACATGAAATAACCACAGCATAACATAAAAAAGCGCCATCTTCACATGAAATAACCACAGCATAACATAAATAAGCACCATCTTCTCATGAAATAACCACAGCATAGCATAATAAAGCACCATCTTCACATGAAATAACCACAGCATAACATAAAAAAGCACCATCTTCACATGAAATAACCACAGCATAACATAAATAAGCACCATCTTCTCATGAAATAACCACATAAGGCAGCTATGGCGTTCCAGCCTTGCATTTACTCCCAGGAAAAATTGTTTAAAGACAATGAAGTACTGATGAACATAAATCACTGTTGTTTACTTAAGTGGGCAAAATATCTACAAATGAAGTGTTCTATCTATTCATCTTGGCCTATTAAAGTGTTATGAATATTTGATATGATCACAAATTAAGTAATAAACTGTACATTCAATTTATTTTATTCTTGATCAAAGGGCAGATCACTCTATATTTCCATAAAAATACCACAAAATCAGAACTCTCTATTGTGCAGTGTATAGAGGGCTCTTAAACAAGTTTCCTCACAAAAAATTGAGGAACCTTACCAGGCATTAGTGCAAGATACCAGATGATGGAGTTCTCTATATAATCTTACTGGAAATCTCTTGAATTGTCAAACATTGAATATCACAATTTTTGGTGTATCTTTTTTCCAGACATTTTGAAAACAGTTTAAGAATCACAAGATATTGGTATATAATTATGAATAATTTTCAATATATTATGAAGAGATATAAAACAGATGTTCGAGGAACACGTCGTCTGACCTTAAGAAGAAAATAAATAATTTTTCTTTGATCATCTTGAAAATAAATAATCTGTCCTCGACTGGCATGAAAACATATAAACTGGCTCAAAAAAGAAACAAGCTAATTCAGTGAATTTGTGTCCCCCGCTTAAGGAAAAAAGAAGAACATGCACAGTTCTAGGGGGATGTCGGAGCCCCCCCCCCCCCTTGGATTTGTAGAATTATTAAATGTATACATGTATATTGAAGCAAATAAAAAATGCCAATATAGATATAAAGATTTGATTGCTTATTCTTTAATATGTGTTTAGAAGATTCTTTTTATATAGAATATTTATCACACTGTAATAATGATTTTATGAGTTTGTACACGCCAGACGTCATAACTTTTTCATTTCATATGTTGAATACTATCATTTAGTAAATCAAAAAAAAAAAAAAAAAAAAAAAAAAAAAAAAAAAAAAAAAAAAAAACAACAACAACAACAACAACAAAAAAAAAAGATGTGTTTGTGAAACACTGATGCCCCCGTATGGCAGCTTATGGCGAAGGTTAAAGTTTCTCAAATGCAAGTAAAATCCAGGCCAAAAGATAAAAAATGTTGGTACCCAAAGAAAGGTCTTGTCTTGAGGAATATACCTGTGAAATTTGAAAGCCCTAGCTGCAACTGTTCTAAAGTTATGGCGAAGGTTAAAGTTTTTTAAAAGTAAGTAAAACGTCAAGGTCAAGATCAAAGTTGTTGGTATCCAAAGGAAGGTCTTGTCACAAGGATTACATATGTGAAGTATGAAAGCCCTAGCACCAACCATTCAAAAGTTATGGCCAAGATTAGTTTTTTGAAAGTAGGTCAAACTCCTATGTCAAGGTCAAAGGGTCAAAGTGGTTGGTATCCAAAGGAAGGTCTTGTCACAAGGATTACATATGTGAAGTATGAAAGCCCTAGCTCCAACCGTTCAAAAGTTATGGCCAAGGTTAAAGTTTTTCAAAAGTAGGTCAAACTCCTAGGTCAAGGTCAAAGGGTCAAAGAGGTTGATATCCAGAGGAAGGTCTTGTCACAAGGAATACACATGTGAAGTTTGAAACCCTAAGCACCAACTGTTCAAAAGTTATGGTCAAGTGAAAGTTTTTCAAAAGTAGGTCAAACTCCAAGGTCAAGGTCAAAAGGTCAAAGTTGTTGGTATCCAAAGAAAGGCCTTGTCACAAAGAATACACATGTGAAGTTTGAAATTCCAAGCACCAACTGTTCAGAAGTTATGGCCAAGGTTAAAGTCTCATAAAACTTTGCAAAAGTGGGTCAAACTCCAAGTTCAAGGTCAAAAGGTCAAATATGATGGTACCCAAAGAAAGGCCTTGTCACAAGGAATACACATATGAAAGTCATAGCTCCAACCAATCAAAAGTTATGTGCAAGGTTAAAGTTGACAACAGACAGACAGACAAACAGACAGACAGGACAAAAATAATATACCCCAGGATCTTTCGATCCAGGGGCATAAAAAAAAATTCAAAAAAAAAAAGAAAAGAAAAAGGCATCGTCTGGAATTTGAACCCGGACCTCTCACTTGCTAAGCAAGAATCATACCCCTAGACCACAGAGGCACATTATAATATATTAAATTAAATGCAAACATTAGGTCACATATAATGTTTATATTCACGTTCGATATTGTCAAAATTTTACACAATACATGGTTCCTAATTTAGCTTTTTTTAAACAGTTCTAATGGACGTAATTAGAATATAACCTGTATTATATGCAATAACTCTCCACATGCCCTTGTGCTAAGAATAGTGCCAAGCGACTTTTAATACAATAAATAAAAAAAAATTGGGCGGGACACTTTGAGAGGGGCGAGAAAGGCCATAGGGAGTTATGGTATAAAATTCCATTGCAAAAGCTCAAAGCTTCTTGAGATATCGCCCTGAAACGAAAGTTTTAATACAGACAGAAATGATGACCTTTGACCTTTTGACCTCAAAATCAATAGGGTTCTTCCTTAGGCCACAGGGAGTTGTTATGTAAAATTTCATTGCAAAAGCTCAAAGGCTTCTCGAGATATCGCGCGGAAACGAAAGTGTTAAATCAGACAGAATTTATGACCTTGACCTTTGACCTCAAAATCAATAGGGTTCTTTTTTAGGCCATAGGGAGTTGCTATGCATAATTTCATTGCAAAAGCTCAAGGGGTTCTCGAGATATCGCGCGGAAACGAAAGTGTTACAGATCGACAGATAGAAATACAGACGGACGGACGGACCCAAATTAATATCCCCCACTTTCAGTGAAAGCGGGGGACAAAAATGACTGGCAAATTAAAAATGAAATTGAAATCTCAGGAAAAGCTTCTCTTCACTATCTCAAGCTAGAGAAAAATTCCTATGGACATCCTTATCTACTATATGACAGTCATGTGTACATTACCTTAATATGCTTCCAGGAAAGCCATTGTAAAGGTTTTACTCGTAACGAATACTTAATTATCGGTCACAAACCAATACGAACAAGTTTAATGAGCATGAAGTGAATAGAGAGTACAGAGAATAGACTACACTTTATATTAAAATGTCCTATTCCACATCACGCAAGACAGCCATACATGACCAAACTAGCTGAATTCATATCTCATGATCAGTGAGGAAATTGGTGGCTAGGAGTCAAACTCGTATACATCAGACGAGAAAATACTGAAAAATAGCCACTCCTCCCATACTGTATGTAAACGAAACAACCCCAGAAACTTGAAAATCCGGGATTTATAAAGAATTTGACCCTACACTGCCAAAGAGCAAGACAAATTCAAAATAACACGCAGTCTACAACATAGCTATTTAGTTTTTAATAAGAAACTTTTAGTAAGTTTTACGCAGGGCCATGTTAATATTAAAAAAACCGTATAATTTATGCTCGTGTACAGTCTGTAAAAGTTTTTCTTTTTTAAGGTTGAGTTTGTCTATCACCCTTAATTTTATTTTATTGCACAATACAGGCCCGTAGAACGCGGGGGGCCGGGGGGATGCCCCCTCCACTTTTTCCGAGTATAGTATTTTGCTTTTGCTTTATATA